ACTTCGGGAGGCTAAGGCAGGTGTATCGCTTGAGACCAGCCTGGGCAAGATGGCAAAACCCTGTCTCTACAAAAATTAGCTGGGCATGATGGCATGCCTGTAGTCCCATTTACTTGGGAGGTTGAGGTGGGAAGATTACTCCAGCCCGAGAGGTTGAGGCTGCAGTGACCCATGGTCGTGCCATTGCACTTCAGCCTGGACTGCAGAGTGAGACTGTCTCAAAAAAAAGAAAAAAATTCCCATCCCTACCTAAGTGTTAGCAGATTAGTTGGGAAGAAAGGTGTTTTCCTTACTGTAACTCAAATAAGTGATGAGTGCTGTGGTAGCAGTGAGAACTGAGAAGATTTAGATCTTAATTCTGACTGCATAAAAAGGTGACATTTGAAGTAGACCATAATAGATGAGTAAAATGTTGCAGGTATTCAAATTAGCAGAAGCAAAAAATGCATGCTAGGATTAACATATATAGTACATAAGACTGCGAGTGCCTACCAGTTAGGAAACAGCTTGGTGTGGGCATAAATAGGTTGAAAAGGTAATTTGTGGCCACATTATGAATCTCATACCAATGTCTTCTTTCTGTAGATCAGTCTGTGATGAGAGTAGTATGAGATTAGCTACAGCTGTCAAGACTGTGAAGGTATCTAGTTTGTTTTTCACTTAGCACATGAGAAACTATGGTACAGATATAATGAAACAGCTAAGTCCCATAGCTGGTTACTTATAGAACTAAGGCCTAAGTCCAGACTTGATTTTACAATCTGCATTAGGAGATGTACTTGAGATGGTGAGGAAAAAGGTCAGACCAACCACAATACTACTTTAATAATCTAGGTGGAAAATCTCGAGGACCTCACTACGACAGTAAGGGTAAAGAGGATGCTAAGTGAGGAAATTCTGAAGGTAAAAGCAGTTAAGATTTAGTGGGAGAGGAGAAGTTGAAGATACCATAGCTTCTAATCTGGAGGAATGAGTGTTGATGCCATTGTAAAAAGATGGCAACATCTGCTTTGAAAGATACATATTATATGCAGATAGACTTGAAACCATCTGATTCTGGCCTATTTAAGTTGTTGAATCAGATGAAATGTGTTTGAAAATTTCTTCTAAACTAGAAAAGCATAATACAAAGTGAAAGCCCTGTCCATTGCCATTAATATGTCTGCTTGTAATGCCATTAAGCAATAGCCAAGAATTACTCATGAAAAGTAAAGGTGTTTCAAGTGAAGGTCAGGTTGTGCCACAAAAACTTGAAGAACATTATATAGGTAGCAACCTTAGTTTGCAGCACCCAGGACTTCTAGAGTCCTTGGGCTGCTAGTCCTGCTAGTTGTAGGTAGGTGATCTTACATTTCATTTGTAGTTTAGCGTGTCTACATTTCATTTGTAATGTAGTTGTAGGTAGGTGATCTTACATTTCATTTGTAGTTTAGCGTGTGAGGGCATAATTCTCAATTCTCAATTTATGGGAAATGACAATCAGTGAATGGCTATTAATTGGTTAGTTGATTATAATTTGTGGTACAGTAATCCTAAGTAAGGGCTGATCTCTTGCAAAATACTAATAACCTTAATTTCATAGAGGAAAGTTTAGGAGTCTGGTCTCATGGGATGTTATTCAAAGTTGACAGCATATTCTGACCATACAAATGTGTAAAAGTGACATTTTGGGGTTATACATCTTCAGAACATGGAGGTAAAATACTGTATTTGCAGTGTTACATGATTGTAGAATCCCATCCTATTTTACTCCTAAGAGTAGTGGTCAGTTAAAGAGCTTTTTTTCACCTACTTTAGGGTACCTTAACATACCCTATTGAGGGTGATGATTAACTATTACATTGTAAAAGGAGAAAAAAAGGACTACCCTAGTCTATTTTCTTGGAAGATTTTGACTGATTTTGAGCTTTTGATATGGTAGGAAAATGTCACTTCAGAGGAATATGTACATCTGCCTGTTCACTTGGGTACAGATTTTAGGGACCTTTGGATGTAGAGGACTAGTTATTTAAACAATTAGGTTGAGATTACAGAGTTCAATGTGTTTCTCTTAACTTTTATGAACAGATGGACTTATTTTGAGTCACTTGCCAAATGGCCCAACTGCTCATTTCAAAATGAGCAGTGTTCGTCTTCGTAAAGAAATTAAGGTAAGTTTTATACATTCCTTGATTGGCATTGATCTCTCCACAGTATTTGATTAGTAGATGCTGTATCTTATAGCTCTGAATTTATCTTAATAATGGCATTTTTTCTCCTGAGTACAGCAGTTTTTATCTATCAGTTTTCTTGGGAGACTGTGGTGAAGTTACAGCCAGCAGGCAATAGTCTTCATTACTATGAAGCACATTGATTTTCTAATAAGATTTTTTTGTTGTTGCATTCACTGCATATTAATTTTAGATATGTCTTATTTCATGGGTTTGGTAAGCCATCTGTGATAGTTTGTCACTAAAAAACGATAAATTTTGCAAATTTGTCATGTAAATTTTGATATTTGAAATTGCATTGGGAGGTATTGCCAATTAGCTTAGCTCATGGTGATACTTATTTCTCATTATTTTTCTAGAGAAGAGGCAAGGACCCCACAGAACACATACCTGAAATAATTCTGAATAATTTTACAACACGGCTGGGTCATTCAATTGGACGTATGTTTGCATCTCTCTTCCCTCATAATCCTCAATTTATTGGAAGGCAGGTTGCCACATTCCACAATCAACGGGATTATATATTCTTCAGATTTCACAGGTGAGGAAGGTAAACTTGTTGAACTTTGACTTCAATCATGAAATATATTTTCAACATGAACTAATTTTCCAATATATTGTAGCAAGTATCATACAAGATAAAATGAATTATCTTTTGAACCCTGTCATAATGTTAAACAATAGCTTATTCAGATTAATTTAACTCTTTTTGTCTTTGAAGATACATATTCAGGAGTGAAAAGAAAGTGGGAATTCAGGAACTTGGACCACGTTTTACCTTAAAATTAAGGTCTCTTCAGAAAGGAACCTTTGATTCTAAATATGGAGAGTATGAATGGGTCCATAAGGTATGTGCTTATTGTTTAAAAAAACTAAGTAATTTTTAAAGTATGGGATAAGAGGGTGGGAGAGAGAGCATCAGGAATAGCTAATGGATGCTGGGCTTAATACCTAGGTGATGAAAATGATCTGTGCAGCAAACCACTATGGCACATGTTTACCTGCACATCCTGCACATATACCCCTGAAAAAAAAAAAAACTACAATAACTGTGGTTCATCTGAAGTATAAACATCAGTGGTTCTCAAAGTGGTACCAGCACCATTACCTACGAACCTGTTAGGAATGAAAATTCTTTGGCCTGCAGACCTACTGGATCAGCAACTTAGGGGGTGGGGCCCAGCAGCAATCTGCTTATAAGCCTGTGTTATATGTGACTCTATTACATGTTTCTTGAGAACTACTGAGTTTTCTTAGACGTTTAGAGATCATCATCTTAAATCATAAATGAAAACAATGAAAACTTTCAATGTTTTAAAACCATCCTTTTTTTTTTTTTTTGAGATGGAGTCTCAGCTCTGTTGCCCAGGCTGGAGTGCAGGGGTGCCATCTCTGCTCACTGCAACCTCCGCCTCCTGGGTTCAAGCTATTCTCCTGCCTCAGCCTCCCGAGTAGCTGGCATTACAAGCGTGCACCACCACACTGGCTAATTTTTTGTATTTTTAGTAGAGACGGTTTCACTGTGTTAGCCAGGATGGTCTTGATCTCCTGATCCGCCCGCCTCAGCCTCCCAAAGTGCTGGGATTACAGGTGTAAGCCACCGCACCTGGCCTAAAACATCCTTTTCTATCTAGTATAAGCAGTACTTCACTTAGTAACATTTTATTTTAAAATCACACACACACACAAACTGCCAACATCTTTTATATTAGACTGAAGACTGACTATTCAGGGTCTCACACAAACCCAGTTTTTCAGTGCGTTACCTATAAACTTCTAGGGACGTTAACTTTTACTATTTTACCTGAATTGTTCATTATATTTTTGTTTTCTTTTCTTCTTCCACTCCCCTGCTTTCCACTTTCAGCCCCGGGAAATGGATACAAGTAGAAGAAAATTCCATTTATAAAAGTACTGAGAGAATAATATCGGATTTTGCTGAACAGGCCTATCTTGAAGTTGGGTAATTTATTTTTGACAGAATACTCTCTTCAAAATGGCATTTGTTGATTTCATAAGCCTCTCACGTTTGGACAAATTACCAAATGCCATGAATTGCCACTGTGTGTTTATGTAGAAAATACAAATAAAATTTATTTTGATGGCTTAGGTTTTCTTTAGTTATCTTGTTTTTGCGTAACTGTGAATAATTAAGTTGGAATCAAGATTCAGATTAACTTTCCTATTTGCATAGAACACATGAGAGGAATAAAATGGTTGGTAAATATTGGCTAACCCTTGATGAATTTTTACACCAGATGAATCTTGGATTCCCAGTGTCTGGCACAGTTTTAATAACTTAAATGGAGGCCAGGTTTCTGGATGTTTTAACATTCTCTTAAGCCTTCAGAAGGGTAAAAAATTTAAAGCAAAATGATATACTGGGGTTTAAAGCAAAGTTGCAAATTACTGAAGCTAATCTTTGCTTCCTGATTTTGAGGTTTTTGGTTTTTTGTGGCCAGGTTGAGGGGAGCTCTTTTTTACCTCATTACATGGTGCTATAGTACTCCATTCAGGCACTGAAACAAAGTTAACCCTATAAGTAACTCATGCATGGAAACCTGTAGAACTTAACAGCCTCCTCCTGACCTTACAAGAATAAAGGTGTGCGGTTTACCTTTAATTCCCTAGCAGTCTTGCCAGATGTATGGCATAAAGTCATGTAAGAAGAGCAGGTGGAACAAACTGTACAAACTTAACCCCTTCAGGTGTTCAGAACAGATTAATATACTATGTATTTAATACCAATAATAATGCAAAATATAACTTTCATACTAAGTTTTATTGTATGCTGCCGCCAGTGTATATAAAACAATTACCCTTGTGAAACAGAAATTCATGAAAATTCAGAGAGGTAGATGTTAAGGACTGACAAAAGTAGAAGTTTGTATATTATGGCACATGTGTTACAGGGATAAGCTTTTGTACAGGCTTCAAATGTAGCTCTCTTGAATATTCACTGGATCATAAGGAGTGGTTTGGGAAACCTAAGATAGAAAAAAAAAGGTGAGTTAGGGTAAAGTATCAAAGAATATAGTTTTTAATTTTTTTCATGAATAACCTAGGAGAAACAGGATGGGAAGTGCCTATGGTGCAGTAACCAGTAAAATCTTTCCCTTAATTTTCACAACCACTCTGATGTATAAGTCATTCCTGTTTTATAAACAGACTTACAGATTAACTTGCTAAGATTACTGCCAAAATACATTCTGTATATAATAAAAAAAGGTTAATAAAGCTCTCTTAAATCAAGAAAAATCCAAACATCCTTAGAAAAATGAGCAAAAGTATTTAGCAGGGCAGTTTGGCAGAGTCTAGTGAAGTAGAAGATGCAACCACACTTCTAGTTACCTAGATAAACCCAGACATAGAGAAACATGTACAAGGATATTGACTGTATTAGTATTTTAACCACAAAGAACTGAAACACCTAAGTATAACTCCATAAGAGCATGGATAAACGAAGGTTTCTACATATGATGGAATACAAAGCTATAAGTTATGCCTTATATTTTCTAACCATAAAATATTTCAGTTAAGAGTATCAACTAAAAAATTTTAAAAATGAAAGAATATTAAATTTTAAAAAGTGCACTAAAAAATTAAAACATGAGCATACTAACTTTAGGATTATTGATATGGAAAGGTACAAAAGTGTTAATGAGACATTTTGTAACAAAAATGTTGAAGAGGCATAAACAGAATGCTATGAAAAATGTTTAATACCACCTAAAATAGTAACAAACAAGACTTAGGGCTCAAGGAAAAAGCATTCTCATGCATTCTCTTGTTTCTAGTGGAAGGCCAAAGTATTATATTGGCAGGGGATATCAAGTACAACATTGTAAAAATGTTAAATGTTCACTCCTTGACTAATTTTACTTCTAGAAATTTAATAGAGGTACTAAGTATATATATATATAGTTGTTCACCAAAATCTTCACCTCACTGTAACCTCAAATTTTGGAAACTTAAATATTCAATGAAGTATAATTCAATCACAGTACAACCATTAAAGATCTTGTTTACAAAGAATATTTAATGAAATAAGAAATTCATCATTTAAAAAAGGCAGAATGAAAAACAGTAAATACTGATCCTTAAATTTTTTTAGTTAAAACATTTTCATGGCACCCATAAAATGTTTCATACAAAAACTACCTTAATTTTACATGTGTTTCCTCACTGTCAATAAGCCTGTCGTCTTATCTGCATTTTTTGTGCATGCATGTGCTACTGATTAAGTTTTTAATCCTGTATTATTTCTTCTATTTTGTTGCGTGTAAAGAAGGAAAAATTTTAAAAGCTGGAATCTCAAAAAAAAAAAATGGCGGGCGCGGGGTCAGCCTGTAATCCAGCATTGGGAGGCGGACGGGGAACAGGAGGAGAGAATCTGGCTAACAGGTGAAACCGTCTACTAAAAAAAAAAAAACTAGCCAGGTGAGGTGGCGGGCGCCTGTAGTCCCAGCTACTCGGGAGGCTGAGGCAGAAGAATGGGTAACCGGGAGGCGGAGCTTGCAGTGAGCTGAGACGGCACTGCCCCCCTGGATGACAGAGCAGACTCCGTCAAAAAAAAAAAAAAGAGAGCTGCTCCTGTCTCCGTTCTGCACTATAGGAGGATACAGCAAAAGAAAGCTGACTGCAAACCAGGAAGGGCCTCACCACACACTGATTGCTGGTTGCTTGGTCCAGGACTGTGAGTAATAATGCTTACTATTTAGGCCTCCTGGGTTATGATATTTCTGTTGTAGCAGCCAAACTTACTTAGACAGATCCTTGCTCTAAGCAAGAAAGGATATGGAAGTCACAGAGCTGCCTCATGAAAGTCATGCTTGGCCGGGCGCGGTGGCTCAAGCCTGTAATCCCAGCACTTTGGGAGGCCGAGGCGGGCAGATCACGAGGTCAGGAGATCGAGACCATCCTGGCTAACACGGTGAAACCCCGTCTCTACTAAAATACAAAAAAAAAAAAAACTAGCCGGGCGCGGTGGCGGGCGCCTGTAGTCCCAGCTACTCGGGAGGCTGAGGCAGGAGAATGGCGTAAACCCGGGAGGCGGAGCTTGCAGTGAGCTGAGATCCGGCCACTGCACTCCAGCCTGGGTGACAGAGCAAGACTCCGTCTCAAAAAAAAAAAAAAAAAAAAAAAATTCCTCTTAAAAGGAAATACAGGGCTGGGCACGGTGGCTCACGCCTGTAATCCCAGCATTTTGGGAGGCTGAGGCGGGCGGATCACCTGAGGTCAGGAGTTTGAGACCAGCCTGACCAACATGGAGAAACCTGTCTCTACTAAAAATACAAAAATCAGCTGGGTGTGGTGGTGTGCACCTGTAATCCTAGTTACTCAGGAAGCTGAGGCAGGAGCACTTGAACCCGGGAGGCAGAGGTTGCAGTGAGCTGAGACTGCCCCATTGCACTCCAGCGATAAAACTGTATTTATACACATAACTCCAATGTAGATTCTTTACATTCATGCCACTCAGTGTAGGTCTAGTACTATCAGCATCAGTGTAAGTGGGCAGTTGTAAGAAATGCAAGTTGTAGGGACTCAGTTCAGACCTTCTGAATTCGAATTTGCATTTTAACAAATTGATTTGCATATATTCAAGCTTGAGAAGCAATGCTTTGTTGCCCAATTATTCTTCTCTTAGCCCAAATTGCTTCAAATCTTAATATCCACCAAGCTGTTTTCTTATACTGCTGGGATTAATAGACATTATTTTACCTTCTGGGTTCTTACCCCAGCCATATTTTTAAACTTGAGCCATTCATTTAAACACTTATCTGTAGATTCCTATGAACAAACTAATAAAACTATTAACAGCTGCCCAGTATTTTATTCAAATGAAAATAAACCACTCTGTAAAGTGAATACAAGAACTGAGGTTAAAAGAAATCATTAATAAACCATAAAAATATGAAACTTCCAAAAACTACCATGAAGAATTAAATGAATAGTACAAGAAACAAAGAATATTATAATAAACAGTTAAATATGAAAGTGAATTACTTCTTCATGTGCATTTTTGTGCACATGACACCTGTTTTCAAAGGGCTTTTTTTCCCCCGGTATTTCAAAAAACTTAAAACATCTTAACCAATCACTGTATTTACTGGAAACATGTACTTATACAGACTTCCTGGACACTACCAGGTCTACAAAGCTTAATTAAGGAGGGCACAACTATGTAACAAGGTATTTTAGGAAGCAGCTTCCTGGACTTTGGAGAGTCAGAATGTTAGTAAGGGGGGTGTGTGCCATATACAAAACCTTTTTTTACAAAGTACTATTAGTTTGCCTCTCATAGGTCAATATTGAGTACATTCCCTAACTAAAGTACTAAGAATTTATAAAATGCAGCACCCTTCAGTTACATTTTAAATGATCCAAAACCTTTTTTGTCACATCTCTTAGACTAACATACATTTGTACACATGGCATTTGATCTGGAAGGCACAAATTAATGTACTGAAGCATGCTTTAATAAAGCCAGCAGGGTCTTTAGTTTTTAATTCTCTGAAATTCAGTCCACCGTCTGTTTGCCACCAAGAACTCATATACTGCATTTCCTTCATGTTTTATCTTTAATCCAACAAATGAGAACAAAACATAAAGCCTGTTCTACCTCAGTCCAAACGCCTTTACCACACTGGCTTACTCAATTACATCTGATTTTCTCTTGCATTTCCAATTCCCAATCTTTGCTATACTGCTCTACAGCTGGGTTTAGTTAGAGCAATAACATCAGAGTTAATCCAAATCAGTTGGTAGTACTTTAAGTTATCCCCATAAACAACGCAGTTTTTTTAAAAACTGTCTATAAATATTTGCTAGGTACACAAAACTAGTACTTGGGGACTCCCAAGATGCATATGCCATTAGGCCAATGCTCTAAAAAGTGACAGATGGCTTGTTACAGCAGTGGGATTTTGTAGTAACTCTCCTATACCCTCTTTATGGTTAGTAAATCCTCTATTTAACCTTCTTATAGTAAAATAGAAACGATTAGCCTTCATGACTACTAAGTCAGCAAGTTTCATGAATCCTTACTTTCCTTGCAAAACAGAAAAATACTGGAAATGGAGGGCCAAAGGAAAGGGCATGGGATGATCTTTTAAGTGCTGCAAAGAAAGAGAAGACTAGTTATTCCTACAATGTGGGTTTTTGGTTTTAATTTAAGGAAACTTACCTTTGAAAGATTCATTTTACTACAAAAAGGAACAGACTTTCTGGGGCCTGAAGGGATTTGTACTTGAAGATACTCCAGTCAGCAGAGGGTCATGTTGAGCATTCTGCAGACAGAATTGTTTCAAGTCTGCAGCTGCCTGGGAAACCTATACATAACAAAGAGGGGAGGGAAGCGCCAGATGGTGAGAACATTTTAATGACGGTTTTCTCAATCTTTGGAAATACTGTACTTCCAATAAAACAGTACTTCTCTTGCTTCAAAAGAAGATACTATATAATAATTGAAGACTTAAGTCATATAGTGAGCTCTTTTTTTTTTTTTTTTTTTTTTTTTTTTTTGAGATGGAGTCTCTGTGGCCAGGCTGGAGTGCAGTGGTGCGATCTTGGCTCACTGCAACCTCCCCCTGCTGGATTCAAGCGATTCTCCTGCCTCAGCCTCCTGAGTAGCTGGGACTACAGGCACCTGCCACCACATCCAGCTAATTTTTGTATTTGTAGTGGAGACGGGGTTTCACCATGTTGGCCAGGATGGTCTCGATCTCTTGACCTTGTGATCTGCCCACATTGGCCTCCCAAAGTGCGAGATTACAGGCGTGAGCCACCGCACCCAGCCTAGTGAGCTCTTAATACTTAAAACCAATGCTTGTAAATAAGACTGATTTAAAGTATGTTTTCTTTTGTTTGGTTACTAGAAGCATCAGATGACTGAGTACAAACAGTAGAATTATGTTTATTTTTGCAAAGCACAGCACATCTTATTAATAATAGGCTGTTCAAGTGCAAACCTGAGGGAACTTAACATCTTGTTTCTTAAAAAAAATTAAAGGTTAAACAAAAAGCAATAACATTCTAGCAAACTATTATTTTGTCTTGAAAGCAGTATTACTGGAAAAATGCTACTGTGAATGAACATAATGTGGGATAGCACATAATTTAGAAACGCAAACACTATAAGAATGCATTCAGTATACTGATCCTCAAATTTATCAGACCCTTATACTGTTGCATTTAAACTAAAACAAATTAAAAGAGGCATGCATTCTTTCACTTAGACATCTACTATTTCTATATATTCTGCTAAGGTGATGTAGGATATAAACAAAATAACCATAAAGCCATAGAAGTTCCTTAAGTCCTGTTTGGGTGGCTCTGTATATGTATATTAACACTTAAATCATATTTAAGTCAATAGTTTCTTAAAGGCAGGCTGCTCAGAAAAACTGTTAAATTGATGTTTGCTATCAGCCTTTCAGTCACATGACACTGGGCAGAAATCTGTCACTGTCTAGTTTAATAACATTAAAATAGTTGATGGTACACAAATACCAAAACAATGAACTGAACCGTTCAGATGTGGAACATGAATAAAACATGCCCGAAATGCATCTAATATCTGAGGTCTTGAACTGAGATTTAAGAAGTGGGAGAAATACTCATTTATTTTATTCTCAGTCTTTACTGCAAGGAGGCTGGGAGCAGGTGTCCAGTCCATCCAGCTGGATATGTGACCTTAGGGAATTAATAGCATCACAAATGCTCTCTATACCAAGAACCCCTGCAGATTACAGCTGTACCTCCAACCTGATAAAATAATTCATCATCCTAAGATGAATCTAAACGCTTATCGAATCTATTTGTGTGTCTGGCTTATACAACAGTCCAGGGTAATGAGTTCCATAGGTTTAATAGCTCCTATGTAAAAGTATTTTTACAAATGACTAAACCCCCACATCCCCTCCCTTCCAAAAGAAGTGTAGCTAAAGTAGGGGAACAGTGGTGTCCTTTTTCACCAAATATTGTAACAATGTTTAGTGTTTTCATTCCTATTAACCAGCAGGAAGCATAAAGAGTACCTGTTAATTTTCTATTTAAAGTGTAGGTGGGTCCCAATGTAACTCCCTTTCACAAGTTCCAAGCACCACTATGTGCTGCATATACTTACAGGCACTGAGAATACATAACAGCCAGAGAGAGCCCCGTTGTTAAGGAGCTGACAGTTAAGAGAAAATGACAGACAAGGTGCTGTGTAGTAAAATGAGTAATCGGTTAGATGGTGACTGGGTGCCCACCTAAGGGAAGGTGTCTGAGGTGACATTGAAGCTGAGATCTCAGTGACAAGAGATCCAACCAAATAACCATCAGTGAGAAACAGCATTCCAAACAGTGAGGAAAGCTGAGACAAAGACTCTAAAACTGGAACAAGCTGCTAGCCCCCAAGGCACTGTAACAATCACCATCCAGGAGGTTGAAACCCTGTAATCCTGGCCTAATTATTAGTGCCCCTTTTCACTCTCAAAAATGTCCTGACCTACCTATGACACTTTGTCAAGCACTTACGATAAGTTCTATCAACTGTACTCAAACATAAAGGTTAAAAGATTGTACTAGTTTAAAAATCTCACAAAAAATCACGTAGCCCAGTCATTGATAAAACAGATACCCAATGTTAAACCACATTTAGCAACATGTCTAAAGAAAAGCTCATTAAAAAGTCCCAAAGGGGATGCTCCCCTTCTTGCTACAGCCTTAACATCAGGCAGTAACTCCAAAACCAAATCATTTCTGGTGCCTTTAATGATCCCGACCAGAACCAGAAGGCTACTGAAGATTTAGGTAGGATCGGTTTTGGGGGATCAGGGGAGCAGCAGCTAGGGTTTCCAAAGTAAAGTTCTTGGAGTATTTTAGTCTGAAGACCTCATGTCATTTTCTTTGGAGACTAAGTATGTACAATTTATTGCTTTCACTATCCCGACCCATTTTTTCTTTCTTGGTCCATCCTATCTGTGATAAAGGCATACCTGAATGATATATAATGGTTAATAAATGATTTCGAATTTCAGAGCCAAATCCAGCCAAGACTCACTAGAAACCACTGTGATGAGGTAAGAATTGGGAGAGTAGAGAAATAGATTCCAAACTTCAGTGAGGTCTACAGCACTTCAAGGACTCTAAGTGAGGGGGATCCCACACCAAGACGAATGAGAATTTCTCTTCCCTTCTGAGTTGACCACAACTGAGTAAGCTAGGTCCCTCACATTTCTAGTTAACAAAGCTAAATGGGAGACCCTCTCTCAGGGGGATCCTACAACAAGACGAATGAGAATTTCCCTTCCCTTTTGAGGTGACCACGACTGAGTAAGCTAGGTCTCTGACATTTCCAGTTAAGAAAGCTTAGAGACCCTACCTCTCTCACTCCACAAAACATTTCAGGAAGTAATAAAGACTAGCCTGGTGAGTATAAAATCAAATCATCTTAGGAACTGGCTGCTTTTAACAGGGCACATGATTTACATTCTTGTTTCTTTTTTTTAACTGCAGAAGTGTTTCACATGTAGCCTGACCTATTGTACCAGAAAGAAGCCAATCCATTCAGGACTGTAAAAATCAGGAAATACTTAGAATAGCACTTGAATGTCAAGTTGTTCTATCAACACAGACAAAACGCTTTTTCTCCCAAAGTACCCCAAGACAAGGCCAATACTAACCAGACGCCAAAATAAGACCAATAATTACCCACAATAATTATTTTCTCGGGCATGCGGTCCAGTCGATACCCCCAAGGTCAAATACAAGCAAACTGTGCCATAGGTATGAAATGCACGCTTTGTTCGAGGTTGTACGGGGCACTAACCGGAACTTCACACTCCAGGATCGTGTCGAAAAATGCTTCTTTAATCCATAGTTTAAGTTATGCAATAATTCGCTTAAAAGTATGTGTTCAATGGACAAGAGAAGTTGAAGGTAAGAATTTCATACTAAAGGAAGTAGGTTTGGGAAAGATAAAATGGGGGGAGAAAAGTCTGCTCTGAATCAAAAGTCGGAAAATACCCTGTCCGATGAGAAACAGGAGGCTGGCGAAGTGGGAAAGGAAGGGTGCGGACCGCGCGCGGAGGCGCAGCTGTTGGCGAGACCAGCCGAGAAGGCGGCCAAGGGAGGTAGAGAGGGAGGAGGACCGGAATGTGGGCCACGGTTCAGCCCAGGGGCCAGCCCTCCTCGGAAAGTCCTGGGGCGGAAGGGCGAACTAATCGTCCCCCCAAAACACAGCCTAGACCCACGCGGCGCCTTCTCTAAAGCTGGCCGCTCCCCGATCGCCGCCGCCGAGCGCGCGTCTTCTCCAGGGGAAGCGAGGGCCGGCGCATGTCCCGCCCGCCCCCGCCAGCTGGGCCGCCGGATCGCCCCCGCCAGCTGGGCCGCCGGATCCCACCCGCCGCTGCTGCCGCTGCCGCAGCCGCCGCCGCCTTCCTCCCGCCTCGGCCGCCCGCCCTCGCTCACTTTGACGCGGTTGAGCCCGGCCTCCAGCCGGAGCTGTTGAACCACTTTCTTCATAGCGGCAACGCTGGAGGAGCCAGACATGGTGCACACGACAGCCAGGCCGATTCGTGGGTCGGTGGGTCGTGGGCCGTGGGTCGGAGGGGCCAGACAACTAAGCAGCGCGCGGCGGGGGCGGGGCTCCGAACTTTGTCTCTAAGTTTCCGGTTTTGTGCTCTGCGGCTCCACCCTCGATGCGCATGCGCGCCTTTCCCACCCTCTGTTCCGGCTCCTCACCAGGCCAGGAGCGCGAGCCTGGTGGAGGGGGAGGAGAAGGGGCGGAGCAGTCGGTGGGCGCGTCTGCTCGGGAAGCGAGCGCGACTGGACTCTTAAGTTCCCCTTTCCTCTGCAGAGGGACCGATTAGGGAGAGGTAAGGAGACAGCTCATCGTTAGCCGCTAAGACCTAAGAGGGGGTCTGAAGAGGGCCAGTGAGGGAAGTCAGAGCTGTGGGAGTTTCTAAAAGGTCCGGCGGCGGGTGACCAGGAGGTCTCAGTTTTCCTCCCAGAGTTTGTGGGAGGGGTTGAGGGAAGTGAGGGGAGATGCCTGCCGAAGCGTAGGAGCTACTGTGCACCCGGCGTGAGTCACCCGCACACCCCCGCCCGGTACAGGCGTGTCTCTCTGTGATCCTAGTTTGGCCAACAGGCATTCTCAGTTCCACCCCAACCCCCAGTCCGGCTGACACGAGGCGGAGGGAAGGCGCGGAGGTCGCTGTCGCCTACCCAGCGGAGCTGGGCGGGCGGGGAACAGGGTCGCTGATTCGCTGGAGAAAGGACCTTCTCGAGGTTTGACTTGACTGGCTTCTTAGCTCTTGAATCGGTTTTTCTGAAGGAGATTGTGAAGAAGCCAAGGTGCTGGCTGAAGATTACACCTGTCTACTCTGTTACCCATTTACTCTGGAGAATTAACACTTATTGTACTTTTTAAAATAAAACGTGTTTTGGTGTTTCCGGAAAGTTTGTTTTTTAGTATTTCCGTTGTAGTTTATTACCTCTTGCTTGAAATTGAGTCCCAAAGGAGTTTTTAGGAGAGAGGGTAGAATCTAACCAAACAAAATAGGCTCAGCCAGCCAGTCAGTACGTCTTTCTTTCATCCATGGAAATGTGTGTGTGATGTCACAGCACTAAGGGCAGATGTTTCCTATTTCTTTTGGGGTAGTCAGTCTCCGAATGCGCTGATGTTTTCCATTAATGTGAATAATTTCATCATTAATAGATTTCAAATTTTTTATTAGAGAAGCATGTGTAATTGTTCTGGTCAACAAAATCTAAATTACTTGCTCAACAGTTTATATCAGTTCGCAAAAATGTACATCGTAAGTTTAGCATCTTACTTAATTCGTACGGATGTAATTAATGATTGGGGTTAAAACCAGGGTTTGAATTCTGGCTCTGCTACTTATGGTATTCTTGGGCAAGCTACTTAAATTACTGAGGCTTTATTTCCTTATTTCAAAATAAATTATAAAGCTTCGTAGAGTTGTTTTTCAGAATGAAATGACATTATATATAAAAAGAATATGAAAGCTATCAATAAATATTGTCTTTTCCCAAAAGGGATTATAATTATTTTACCTTTGGTGCTTTGTTGATTGTGTAATGCTAAAACGTCATTCACACTTTACAGGTTTGTAAGATTAAACACAAGTATCTTTATTAAAGAATGATCTATTTTACAGTAGTTGTAAAATATATCACTGAACTCTTAGAACCGCGGAATGTTAATGCTGGAAGAGATTTTAGGGAATATATGGTCCAATAATTACTTCTGTGAGGGAGACTGTTGAGGAATAAACAGTATTTTAGGCCGAAACAGTTTCAGAAAAAAAAAAATTATTGCTTTTTTATTAACTGCTGCATTGGGAAACCGCAGACTGGACTGCTGTCTCAAACACTAGATATTATTGTTTGTAGCGTGTGTTTAAAGATTCTATTTAGGATACAAAAGAAAAAAAAACCATTGAGGCTGGGTGCGGTGGCTCACGCCTGTAATCCCAGCACTTTAGCAGGCCAAGGCAGGCGGATCACGAGGTGGAGATTGAGACCATCCTGGCCAACGTGGTGAAACCTCGTCTCTACTAAAAACTACTAAAATTAGCCGGGCGTGGTGACACACGCCTGTAGTCCCAGCTACCCAGGAGGCTTGATGCAGGAGAATCACTTGAACCTGGGAGGCAGAGGTTGCAGTGAGCTGAGATGGCGCCACTGCACTCCAGCCTGGGGACAGAGCGAGACTCCATCTCAAAAAAAAAAAAAAAAAAAGAAAAGAAACCGTTGAGATAACTTTAAGTTCCGTTGCATCTGAAGTGATTACCAGTAAATATAGTTTAAGAACTATCTGTATCTCTTAAATTTTTGTTTAGGAAATGTCCTTTGACCTTCCACAATGATCTAAAACATTTCAAACATGTTTCCAACTGTACAGACATAGATGCTCACCCTTCAGTTGGTTGAAGACTGGCCTGTTGTAAAAACAATTTGTCACCAAGAGGATTCTTGTAGCAATATATGGCAAGAAAAGACAACCAAGTAATCTGTCACTTTGTTTTGTCAGCAGAGCACTGTCAATTTAAATTTACCTGAGATCTTCACCTTATTCAATTAATACCCTAAGTTCTTTAGTTCACTAGGTCTAAATTCAGAATTTGAATAAATAAGATTCACATGCCTTACTTTGTAGTTTAACTAAAAACTGAATCTCTTCAAAGGGGGATTTCACAATTCTGACTTCTTTCTCAAAGAATGAGCTTATACTGTTTTTATAATGGCTAAGGAAATTGAAGTTTGGAGAAGAAAATATATACAGTAGCTGCAGATAAAATACTTAGGAATTAACCAAGGAAGTTAAAGATCTCTACAATGAAAACCATAAATACTCCGTGTTCATGTATTGGAAGATTCAGTATAGTTAAAATGTCTCTAATACCCAAAGCAATCTGCAGATTCAATGCAATCTCTATCAAAATACCCATGACATTCTTCGCAGAAGTATTTTTAAAAATCCTAAAACTTACACAGAACCATAAAAGACCCAGAGTCACCAAAGTTACCCTGAGCAAAAAATAAAAATGGAGGAATCATGTTACCTGACCTCAAATTATGCAACAGAGCTATAGTAACCAAAACAGCATGGTAACTGGCATAAAAACAGACACACAGACCAGTAGAACAGACTAGAGAACCCAGAAACAAATTCATTCACCTGCAGTGAACTCGTTTTTTACAAAGGTGCCAAGAACATACATTGGAGAAAGGACAGTCCCTTCAATAAATGGTGCTGGGAAAACTGAATATCCATATTAGAAGAATGAAACTGGATCTCTCTCCTCATATACCAAAATCAAATCAAAATGGGTTAAAGACTTAAATCTAAGACCTCAAACTATGAAACTACTATAAGAAAACATTGGGGGTGGGGTATGGTGGCTCAGACCTGTAATCCCAGCACTTTGGGAGGCCGAGGCGGGTGGATCACCTGAGGTCAGGAGTTTCAGGCCAGCCTGACCAACATGTAGTGAAACCTTGTCTCTAGTAAGAATACAAAAATTAGCTGGGCATAGTGGCGCACACCTGTAGTCGCAGCTACTTGGGAAGCTGAGGCAAGAGAATCACTTGAATCTGGGAGGCAGAGATTGCAGTAAGCTGAGATCATGCCATTGCACTCCAGCCTGGGCAACAGAGTGAGACTCCAGCTCTCAAAAAGGGAAAAGAAAACATTGGAGAAACTTTCCAGTACATTGGATTGGGTAAAGATTTTTTGAATAATGCCCTACAAGCACAGGCAACCAAAGCAAAAATGAACAAATGGGATTACATCAAGTTAAAAACCTGCACAGGACCAGGCATGGTGGCTTACGCTTGTAATCCCAGCACTTTGAGAGGCTGAAACAGGTGGATTGCTTGAACCCAGGAGTTTGATAACAGCCTGGGCAACATGGCAAAGCCAAAACCCCATCTTTACAAAAATACAAAAAGTAGCTGGGCAAGGTGGCATGTACCTGTGATCCCAGCTACTTGGTGACCCACAGAGGTCAAGGCTGCAGTGAGCTGTGATCATGCCGCTGCATTCCAGCATGGGCAACAGAGAAGCCCTGTCTCAAAAAAATAAAAAATAAAAATGAAAACCTTCTGCACTACAAAGGAAACAATCAGCAAAGTGAAGAGATAAGTCACAGAATGGGAAGAAATATTTGCAAACTATTCATCTGGTAAAGGATTTATAACGAGAATATATAAGGAGCTCAACTATATAGGGAAAAAAATCTAATCACTTTAAAAATGGGCAAAAATGCTGAATAAACACTTTTTCAAAAGAAGACTTACAAATGGCAAACAGGTATATGAAAAGGTGTTCCAACATCACTGATCATCAGGAGAAATGCAAATCAAAACTACGATGAGATATCATCTCTCCTCAAAGTGGCTTTTAAGCAAAAGATAGACAATAACGAATGCTGGTGAGGATGTGGAGAAAAGGGAACCCTTGTACACTGTTGGTGAGAATGTAAATTAGTACCACCACTATGGAGACCAACTTGAAGGTTTCTCAAAAAAACTAAAAATAGAGCTTCAGTATGTCCCAGGAATCCCACCGCTAGCTATAGACCCAAAAGAAAAGAAACCAGTATATCGAGGTATCTGCACTCCCTTGTTTACTGCAGCACTATTCACAATAGCCAAGATTTAAAAGCAGCCTAAGCGTCTATCAACAGATGAATGAGTAAACAAAATGTGGTACAAATAAACAATGGAGTACCATTCTGCCATAAAAAAGAATGAAATTATCTCATTTGCAACCACATGGATAGAACTGGAGGTCATTATGTTAAGTGAAAAAACCAGGTGCAGAAACACAAACTTCACATGTTCTCACTTATTTGGCAGTAAAAAATAAAACAATTGAACTCATGGAGATAGTAGAATGATGGTTACCAGAGGCTGGGAAGAGTAGTAGGGTGGGAACTGGGGATGGTTAATGGGTACAGAAATATTAAGTTAGATAAAGTGAATAAAATCTAGTATTTGATAGCACAAAAGGGTGATTATAGTCAACAATAATTAAACATTTTAAAATAAGAGTATAATTTGATTTTTTGTAACACAAAGAAAGGATAAATGCTTGAGGTCATGGATACCCTATTTACCCTGATGTGATTTTCACACGTTGTATGCCTGTATCAAAATATTTCATGTACCCATAAATATATACACCTACTACATGCCCACAAAAATTACAAAGTAAAAGAAACCTAACTCTATAATTCCTTTTCCAACATAGATTCTAACCCTATATCATTCTGTTACTCTCTGGGAGACCCTGCCCCACTCTAAAATGTCCTTATATATCCTGAGAAGGTTTCAAATCAAGACAAGTATGCCATTTTGTCTACATTAGGACCTGTCTAGAAAACAAACCTCATTCCTCAATTGGTTCCACAAGTCTAACTACTATAAATGCTTGTGGATTCTGGAGTGCCCTCAGGCATTTCAGGCTTTTTTTCTTTTTTCTTTTTTTGAGATGGAGTTTTGCTGTTGTTGCCCAGGCTAGAGTGCAATGGCATGATCTCAGCTCACCGCAACCTCTGCCTCCTGGGTTCAAGCAAGTTTCCTACCTCAGCCTCCCCAGTAGCTGGGATTACAGGCATGCGCCACTATGCCCGACTAATTTTGTGTTTTTACCAGAGACGGAGTTCACCATGTGGGTCAGGCTGGTTTCAAACTCCTGACCTCAGGTGATCCACCCGCGTCAGCCTCCCAAAGTGCTGGGATTATAGGCGTGAGCGACCGCACCCGGCCTCATTTCAGGCATTTTAATCTATTTACCTAAGACAGGTTACCCTTTAAATTGATTAGAATTTTATTTACAGCTTAACCAGGAACCAAATAAAGCAGAACTCCCAGGACATATACATAACCTGAATCTATCCTGATCAGATAGACTTCATGCCTTGGTGATTTAAGAATCAGGAATTATGTGAAAAAATACTCCCATCATCTGTCATAAAGTTAACTGTATTCTGATTTTTTTATTCCAGAATGTAAGTTTCCCTTTCACTTGTTGCATTCCCTGAGCAATCAAGTAATCAAAACATTTTAGAGCTGCAAAGGATTTTGAAGAGTTCAAGTCACTTACCACTAAGCAACTGACACTTGGACCAGTGAATGGTTTTATAGGTTATAAGGGACCAGAAATCTGCTTTTCTGGCTCCCAATCAATCTGATTACCTTGTGTGAGATTCTACTTTATTGATATATTTAAACATAGCCCATGTCAGCATTTAGGATTTTCTAAAGTACATCGACCAATCTTTGTATGCTGTATTATCAAATCAAACAGGAAATAAAAATTACTAGAATCCTTATTTCTAGAAACTGAATAAGTATCAGAAGTCCTTAAGCTTGATTTTCAGCTCTGCTACTGACACTGAAAATCATTTTGGAAAAGTGCAGAGAAAACATGATGGGTAGATATTTTGAAAGGAGGGACTAGATCAGAGATGGCAGATAGGTTATACATCCACCAAGAGTTACTCCTTCTCAAACCCATAGTTGACTGTGGTAATTCGATTCTGTACTATTTCCTACTGAGATGTAGCCTTGGGATCCTACTTAGTAATTCACTTCTAGATAGTCAGTACCAGTTGATGGGAATTAGCATGCAAGATAAAATTGATTTTCCATTCCTGGCAGTAGAGTTGTAAAGCAAAATTATGCTGTAAATGAAAGATTAGACAGGAACTTAATAGTCACTTTATTTTTGGTTATTGAGATATCAGTCTCCTTTCATTTGAATTGTTGGCATCGTTTTGTTCATTAGCTAATTAGTAACAGGTAAAAAATGTGAAAATCCCACATATTATATGTTAGGATTTAGTATATGATTTGGTTAGGATCAACTACAAATTCTAAGCATGCCTAAAGTTTTTTTTGTTTTGTTTTTTTGTTACAGAGTTTCGCTCTTGTTGCCCAGGCTAGAGTGCAATGGTGCAATCTCGGCTCCCGCAACCTCTGTCTCCCGGGTTCAAGCGATTCTCCTGCCTCAGTTTCTGGAGTAGCTGAGATTACAGACATGCGCCACCACGCTCAGCTAATTTTGTATTTTTAGTAGAGATGGGGTTTCTCCATGTTGGTCAGGCTGGTCTCGAACTCCCGACCACAGGTGATCTGCCTGCCTCGGCCTCCCAAAGTACTGAGATTACAGGCGTGAGCCACCGCGCCAGTCAAGCATGCCTAAAGTTTTAATTAGCCTCTCGTAGTTTCAATAGCAAAGGCTTACTCAAGTTAGCACAAGCAATGAGGAGATTATGGTAAAGATCAACGTAGAGCAGCAGTGGAGGCACACATCCCTTGTAAATCCCAAAACAGAAACTGTCACGCTAATAAGCCAAACTGGAAGTAGATCCAAGGCTAGATACTTCAGCCCTAAGACTTCTTGATTCCTCTCTAGTGCTTAGTTATAAACATGAATCAGCTATGTTACTTCCTCAGTTTGCTTCTCACTACCAGTTAACTTAGTCATTTTTTCTATGCTTTATCTTTTTTTATCTCTTTATAGATAAGTATAGCTTTCCCGTAACATAGGCTTGCCTCATGGCTATGATGCTATGATACTGCCTCATGACTTTTCTGTATTCTTTTTTTTTTTTTTTTGAGATGGAGTCACTCTGTCCCCCAGGTTAGAGTGCAATAGCACGATCTTGGCTCACTGCAACCTCCCCTGGTTCAAGCAATTCCCCTGCCTCAGCCTCTGGAGTAGGTGGGATTACAGGCGCATGCCACCACACCCAGCTAATTTTTTTTTTTTTTTTTTTTTTTTTTTTGTATTTTTAGTAGAGACGGGGTTTCACCATGTTGGCCAGACTGGTCTCAAACTCCTGACCTCAGGCAATCCGCCCCTCTCGGCCTCCCAAAGTGCTGGGATTATAGGCATGAGCCACGGCACCCGGCTCTCTTTTCTATATTCTTGTTAGTAATGTCTACTAACGCTTGAATCTTGAGCTCTTTTCCCAGGTCTAATTCCCAAGGGCTCATCTTTTTACATCAGAACATTTTGTTTGTTTCTGGTCAGCCCAGGATTTGGTCTCTAGCATTGGTCGCATCAGAAATGATAAAGGGAGTTCTTAAAATCCCAAACATGGCTTCTTTGCCATTACTTTAGAAGGGATACTATAGGTTGAGTATCCCTTATCCAAAACGTTTGGTGTCAGAAATGTTTCAGATTTCAGATTTTTTCAAATTTTGGGGTATTTGCATTATATCGGTTAAACAATCCTAATCCAAAATCCAAAATGCTCCAATGAGCATTTCTTTGGAGCATCATGTCAGCATTCAAAAAGTTTCAGATTTTTGAGCATTCCAGATTTCAGATTTTAAAATTACGGATACTCAACCTGTATAGTGGGGTCCTGTATAGGTTTACCTCAGGACAACAATAAAGCAGGTCTTGACTGATCTATCTTGAGTTTGTTTAATTAAAAATTTGTTCTGGGATGGGCACATTGGGGGCTCATGCCCGTAATCCCAGCACTTCCGGAGGCCGAGACGGGCAGATCACTTGAGGTCAGGAGTTCGAGGCCTGCCTGGCCAACATGGTGAAAACCTGTCTCTATTAAAAATACAAAAATTAACTGGAAGTGGTGGCACACGACTGTCATCTCAGCTACTTGGGAGGCTAAGGCAGGAGAATCACTTGAACCTGGGAGGCAGAGGCTGCAGTGAGCCAAGAGTGCGCCACTGCACTCCAGCCTGGGTGATACAGGGAGACTCTGTCTCATTAAAAAAGAAAAAAAAAATTGTTCTGAATTAAAATATCAAATTTTAATATGTAACAAATTAAAACTTTTAGCCTACTAACTTGCATACCAATGAATCAATGAATGTCCTTATGCTATAATTATTATAGATTATTAACTAATTATTATCTAATAATGAAGTGACCATATATGTATCTGAGTCATCTTTCACTTAGGTTCATAATAGAGGCTAATATTAATACAGTGGCATACAGAGTTTTTGTACAGATATATAAATACTTTCTTAAAGTACTAATGTGTACTTAAAATAGCGTTTGACATGGTCAAAATGATAAATCACATTCTAAGTTTTAATTATAAGAAATATGGAAAGTAATATGTAAAACTAATTTAAGGAGATGCTATATTTCAGGAGATAATCTTTTAATTTTGATACCATTAAAACAATTAGTGGTACTTGTTAGGGTTTTGTAGAGCTATGATCAGTACCAGATCAGAGGAATTTTAAGTTTTGTTGGAGATAAATCCTTATTTTAACATAAATCGAGGAAGAGCAATGCTTTGAAATCTAGAAAAGCTTCAGCTCTTGTGTTGATATGATTAGTGTATCCTTAAGGATTATCCTGCTTTGATAATTCCTTTTAGAGTAATAATTCAGCTACCTTATTTTTTATTTTTTCTTATATACATTATATTTTTTTAATTGTATCATATTCTTGTAAACTGCCATAAATCCTGAGGAAAAACACAGGGAATAATACACAAATGAAGCCTGATATATTTAAAGACTGGCATTTTCACCTGGAATGATTGTTCATGTTTTTTATTATTGAGGCATCAAAACCCAGGAAGAAATGTATATGGTAAAACAGTTTTCATCATTCTATAGCCATTTTAACTAGCCCAGAGGCTAATTAAAACTTTAGGCATGCTTAGAATTTGTCATTGATCCTAACCAAGTATCATAAATTCTGTCTTTCTACTTCCAAATGTGTATTTCTACTTCATGTAAAATGCTATCTATTTAACCTTAATTTTTGACCAAGAAAAGATGAATTATTTAGAATCGTAAAGTATGTCCTGGTCACAAGTCCATTATAGTGTAATTTGTCACGTTACTTAGTTGTATAGATTTATACTCATTTCATTGCACAGTCCTATTTACTATTAATATGTCCTTTTGAGTTAGAATAATAAAGATTATATATATTTCTAAGTTTTCATTTTTAGTTTACTTAATGTTTTTGTGTTTTCCTTTTTATTTCTTGAACAAATCAGAGACCAGAAATGAGTGGAATGCTATCTTAAGCCAAAAAACTATTACAATTTTTATTTAATACTACTTAAATGAAGAAAGATAAAAAAAGAAACAAAATTCAAATTGATAATTATCCCATTCAGACATTAGTAAATATGTCGCTCAATCCAAGTCGACCTTCCTCATCAGAGGTAAGAAAATCTTTTTATAGTAAAATATAAGAAAGACCTGCTTATCATTGTTTTTGAAAAGTCTTATAAAAGCAAAAACATAAATTATATAAAGTATTAGATATTGACTCCACCATGATGCCAACTTCATATATCCCATTGCCTGGTTACACTTCTCGTGTCGCTAGCTCACTTCCTCTACCCCAACCATATTGGGATCCCCAATGCATTGATTCTATCACCTTTTTTACTATTTCTCAATTGTATGATTGAAGGTGGTACCCTCCATATCTAGCTTAAGTTCCATAGAGCAGTCATGATCACTCCTTTGCACATACTTTTGACTCCTTGCCCCTCTGTCACTTCATTGTGCTGCTTGGCAAAACAACAAACATGGTTAATGCATTTCTCCACCTGTTCTGTACCTACACCTGAGCAGCTGAACATGGCTAGACAAAAAAAATGTATACCATCATAAGTACCATTCTCACTTTAAATTCATGACCATGAATTTCAAATGGAATCTTTTCTGGTGGGCAGTCTTGCTGTCTGCGACTCATTAATTCACTCTTTCACTCTTCTGAACAAGTATGTCATACCATCTCAGACCCCCAATACCTTCTCTCTATTTTCTCTTAAACCAAGTGCAATCAAGATTTCATCTCAATTATTCCACCAAAACTGTTCTCATTAAATTCACCCTTTCATTACTAAATCTGTTGGTTAATTCTTATCCTAAACATTCTTGATCTATATGTGCACAATAGCTGACACCATTAATCACTTTCTCTTCCTTGACATAGGCTTCACTAGGCTTCTAGCATACATATTATGTTTGTTTTCTTCTTACCTCCCTGGTTGTTCAATCTCAGTCATCTTTACTGGGTCTTCATCTTCTTCCTGACCTCTTAATTTGTGAATACATCAGGGTTCAGCTCTTTTATGTTTGTTTTCTTCTTACCTCCCTGGTTGTTCATTCTCAGTCATCTTTACTGGGCCTTCTTCTTCTTACTGACCTCTTAATTTTGGAATACATCAGGGTTCAGCTCTTTGTTCTCTTCTCTGCCTACACTCATTCCTTGGTGATCTCATCTAGTCTAATAGATTTAAATACCAATTTTATGCCAAGGATTTCCAAATTTATAGCCTTATCTCAGTCCTCTTTCCCAAATTCCAGATTCACATAGGCCTATATTCAACTGACTAACTGACATCTCCACTTGGATGGCGAATAGATATCTCATCTTAATATGTCTGAAACTGGATTTTTTTTCCCTTCCCTAAAACTTGCACTACCCATGACTTTTGCCATTTCAGATACTGAAAGGTCAAATCTCTCCTTTCAGTATCTGAGGCCAAATGCCTTGGAGTCATACTTGATTCTTCTTGCATACTTGAGTCTTCTACTTGACTCTTCTTTCAAACTCCACTTCCAGTAGATTGACTCTGACTCTTCTACTTGACTCTTAAACTCCACTTCCAATTGATTGACTCTAACTTTTAAATACATAAAAAATCTGACTGCTTTTTAATAACCTTTACTGCTAGCACATGAGTCACCATTGTCTCACACTCTAATTATTCCAGTAGCTTCATAACAAGTTCCCTTTTCTTGCCTCTTATAGTCTGTTCTAGCTATGATCTCTATCACTCAACTAATTAAGTAAAGCATTATGTATATCCTGATATAATGCAATATAAAATACAGGACACCACTTATAAAATATTATTGCCCCTGTGTCACTTGAAGGCTGGATAGTTAACTGTTTACAGGAGATAAGAGAGGTTGGAGAAACAAGTTAAATGACACCTTAGAGATAATAAAGTATATTCAGAATGTAGAACATTCTGTAAGACAACTGGCTCAGTATCTTTTAAAAAGTCAATGCCATGTTAAAAATAAAAAGCAAAAAATAGGTTTGGGAGCTCTTCAAGATGAAAGTTTTAAAAGACGTAACAACCAAATGCATTGTGTGATCCTTGTTTGAATTCCAGGTTAAGAAAATATTTCGAGGACAATTGGGAAAATTTAAATATGGACTGGATATTAATTGACATTAAGGAATTTTAATTTTTTAGATGTGAAAATGAAACTGTGATTATGTTACAGAGGTCCTTATTTTTAGAATATGGATACCAAGTAATTTAGGGATATAGTGTCGCGATGTCCGATTTACTTTGAATATTTTATTCGGAGAGAGAGAATTACTCTATTTATATGTATGTTTAAAATTTTTCCTATAAAATAAAAATATATGTCAGATCTTAATGTTTCTCTTAAAACCATGCATTAGCTTCCCATTTTATAGGTGAAAATGGCTCAGAAGGCGCTATATGTTTCCCCTCTACCTCCTTATTTTTCTGAACTTATCTTCTACTACTCTCTCCCCTACTCTCTCTGCTTCAATCATACTGATATGGTCTCACCTTAATATCTTTATTTTATCTCTTTCTGAAACTCTTTCCCTCTAGATCTTCACTTGGCTAATTCCTTCTTTTCCCTTAGGTCTTTACTCCGATCTCACCTCTTCCATGAGACCTACCCTGAATATTTAAAACTGAAAACTTCTCCATTCCATATCTTCCCATTCTTCTTTACCCCGCCCTACTTATTTTTCCCTAGTAGCTACCACTTTATAATATCTATATTATCTATTAGTGTTTTGTTTATTGTTTTTTAATTTAAAAAAATTTTTTTTAATTTTACTTCTTAGAAGTCAGTATTTATTGTTTATTGGCTATAGTTCTCACAAAACCAGGACTAGTCTGAGGCAAATGGGGTACTTGCCATAGATGAAAAATTTAAGGGGCTACCAAAAAATTGTTTTAGTAAAATTAATGCAAAAAAAATCCATGATGAACAAGATACCAATATTTTAAATAAGAGACAGAATCCAACAGTGCCATCCCTAATCATTTTGAAACCTGGGGCAAAAGAAAAAGTATGTGCCCCCATATATATATGTGTGTATATATATATACCTTGTAATGTATTTTTAAAATAGCTAATGGTTTTAATGAAAATATTATTGATGAGCAGCTTCCATTAAAGCCAGGAAAGTAAGATTATAATAAATCAGGGTGACAGTGTAAATAGAATATTTAACCTTAAAATAATATTGTCAGATTTAATATGTACTTTAAAATTTTTAAATATTTTTTCAACTACTTTATTGTTCTGGAAAAAAACATTAAAATGTATTTTTTAAGAAACATGTATATCAATATTTAGTTCAAGAAAGAGTTTCCCCCTGTAAAATATTAATATATTTATATAAAGATAAGTTCATATTTACTTCAAATTTCTTAAGGTTTTGCAAATATTCAATAGTATAGCGAGGGGATAATCTTTTAAGTGCTCTAGTGTTCAAAATGCAACATACAGAAAACTTCACTATCAGATCTATGCAAACATTTTAAATTTTTAATTAATATTTCATCATCAAAAGCATAGAAGTAATTTTCTTGATTTATAAAAACAACTTGAAGAAAAGCTTATGCTCAAGAACCACTTTTATCTCCTATGAAATTACTAATATTAACAGTAGGCCATATTCAAACTTTTAAAGGTTTCTCAGATATTTAATATTGCATTCAAGAATATTCATTTAAATGCTTTGACTTTTAATATGCAGGGAGTATCAAACTTCATTTGATTAAGTGATAAGACTATATTTGCAATCGCTCTGTTTCTGTTTTGGTTATATAAATATTTTTCTAAATAGAAGGATTCTAATCAAGGGCATAACAAAACATCAGTGGAAAAGTGGATAGTTACATAGAAGCACAGACACACAGACATGCCTGATGTAAGAACAATCATTCCTTTCTCCTTGGTCAGGAATAGGTTCTTCCTGGAATTCTGGGGAATAAGTACATTCCCCAAACCACAGTATTAAACCTTTTGCAGGTGCTGAGGGCTAGCAATCATCAGAACTGTAATAGGGAGAAAATATACAAAGGATAAAGATTCCACAAGTTCACCCCAGTGGAACTGAGTAGGTGGGGAGTGAGGTGAGGTAAAGGTTGATGTTAAGAAAACTAGTCTTGGTGCCCTAGGATTCTTACTGCAGACCACAGAAAAAACACCATATGCCAAAGATGTTGAGATAATCTCATAGCCACATCTATAACATTGTTGCCAGGGGAAATGTACTCCAAATGCCAAGTGGCCAAATTAAGAACAAATTTTTAGTTCATTTTGTTTTTTGTTTGTTCAGAGGGATGTATGTATTCCATTTTTTTCTGTTGTATTTATTAAACTTAATTCTATAGAACATCAGTTGATTTTTTTTTTACTTTAAAAGTATTTTAACTGATGTTCTTCTCAATTTATTCAGTTGGTGGAACTTCATGTTTTTTATGTCCCTGAAGGATCATGGAACTATAAGCTAAATACCATTTCAACAGAAGTTGTTAACAAATTCATTTCAGCTGGATTTCTAAGGCAAGTGTTGTGTAGTCATGTAACAATATGCCTGAAAGAAGAATCTTTCTTTCTTCAGAGAAAAATGCTTTTTGGAAATTTAAAAAGTATAAGTGAAAAATATTTTGTCCATGTGATAGATCCATTTATCAATATGTAGTGCTATGTAACAATTAAATCAGTTCTGTAAGAATAGCTCACTTGGCCATAATACTACCACCCAGAAAACAGTATATAACCTGTGTATTATTATGGTCATACACAAAGTGAATTAAGAGAGAAGTTATCTAAAATTAAAAATCTGCTAAACTACTCAGGAGGCTAAAGTGGGAGGATTGCTTTGAGGCCCATGATTGCACCACTGTACGCCGGTCTGGGCAACAGAGTGAGACTCTGCCAAAACAAAAAAAAAAAAGAGGGCGGGGGGGAAGAGAAAGAGGGAAAGAGAAAGAGGAAGGAAGGAAGGAAGGAAGGAAGGAAGAAAGGAAGGAAGGAAGGAAAGAAGGAAGGGAGGGAGGGAGGGAAGGAAGGAAGGAAGGAAGGAAGGAAGGAAGGAAGGAAGGAAGGAAGGAAGGAAGGAAGGAAGGAAGGACTGCTGAAGATCTGAGAATAGTAGTTAAAGCAATATATCTACAATGCCTCTTTCTCTGAACTGTTTAAAAATATAAACAAAGAACATGTGTTTATATGTATGTAGATGTGTATTTTCACATTCACAAAAAGACACATAACACTATGTGATCTGACTGCCTGTTGTTACCCCTTTAGCACACCTCTCTTCCTAATCTTCATCATCACTTTCTTCAACCACATCAGCCTCCTTTCTGTTCTGTAACATAGCCCTACCTCAGGACCCTTGTACTTTCTGTTCCTTTTGTCTAGAATGAGTTTTCTGCCCTAACCATATGTTCTCCCATTTCCTTCAGGTCTTTACTCACATATTACCTTTTTGTGTGGATATTCTCTAATCACTATATTTTAAATCATTTGTACAGTCCCTTTCTCCCTTCCCTGCCTTATTTTTCTCTGTAGTACTTAGTAGTGTCTTATGGATTACATTTTTTTACTTATTTACTTCATTAATTTTTCTATCCCACCACTAGATTATAAAGTCCATGAGGGCAGAGATTTTTGTTTTGTTGACTGCCATATTCCCATCCCTTGGAACAATGTCTGACACATAATAGATGCTCAACAAATATATGTTGATTGAATGAATTATCTAATATTTTTCATAAGGTCCTAGAAAAACAAGAGCTCAGATGATAGATAAGTGATGGCTTTAAATTTTAGATATTCAGGAGCAAAGTATCCCTAATAAACAAAGATGTGGAATCTGGCAATGTTAGATTATTTTAAAAAATTTTAAGCACTAGCTACTGCTACCAAACTTCCAAAATAAATATCTGTGGCTAAATCATTCATTAATGTATGTATAAAGGTACATCTATTCCACAGCAAATTTTAACAATAAAATTTGGAAGTAGATTTCTAAGAGACAATCATTTTCCTTTTCAGTACAAAACATTTATAAACAGTGTTTATTTGCATAATTTTAAAGGCAGACTTCTAATTATTTATTTTAAGAGATATTTATGGAAGACCTACAAAATGCCAGCAGTGTAGAAACATAATATATTAAGCTATATCTGACACATTAAATCAACCTTTGTGTTTGAGATAGCTGACTAAAGTTATTGAATCATTAGTATATCCAAAATCTATTTCATTTTATATTATAAGGCAATTTTATAATATTTCAGAGTATCTCCTCAACTTACTTTACGAGCCCTGAGGGAGCGTCTTGGTGAATTCCTGGGTGAAGATGCTATTGCAGAAAAATTTTTATTTCTGAAATGCATTGGAAATAATTTAGCTGTGGTAAGTTTTCTTTTTTTCTTTCTTATTGAGAAAGACCATACCTTCTCAAATTATATTTCTTAAATGCTTATCAACTCAGCTTCTTAAGATATTATTAGATATGTAATGTCAATCAAAACGAAATGGAAATATCATTAAACATACAGATCAACAAAGATAGGTTGCATGGGCATGTTATTGGGCGTGAAAATGATGGGTTTTCTGTGTGTGAATTTCCTTGCAAAGCAGAGAAATACCAGTTTAAAATGTGATCATATAAGTTCTTAAATTTAAATGAAAGTTTTTAAGTGTTTTAAGCAAGTACTTGAGTTCTGGAAAAAAAAATGGGGTTCTCATTGCTTGCGCCACAACTAGACTCATTTGATGTGAAAATGATATGGCTCCAGGCCGGGCGTGGTGGCTCACGCCTGTAATCCCAGCACTTTGGGAGGCCGAGACGGGTGGATCACGAGGTCAGGAGATCGAGACCATCCTGGCTAACACGGTGAAACCCCATCTCTACTAAAAAATACAAAAAACTAGCCGGGCGAGGTGGCGGGCGCCTGTAGTCCCAGCTACTCCGGAGGCTGAGGCAGGAGAATGGCGTGAACCCGGGAGGCGGAGCTTGCAGTGAGCCGAGATCCGGCCACTGCACTCCAGCCTGGGCGACAGAGCGAGACTCCGTCTCAAAAAAAAAAAAAAAAAAAAAAAAAGAAAATGATATGGCTCCAACATATTTTTTTGGTGTCAACGGTTTTTTTAATTTATTTATTATTATTATTATTATTATTTTTTAGATGGAGTCTTGCTCTGTTGCCCTGGCTAGAGTGCTGTGGCGCAATCTTGGCTCATTGCAACCTCCACCTCCCAGATTCAAGCAATTCTCCTGCCTCCTGAGTAGCTGGGATTACAGGCGTGTGACACCACACCCAGCTAAGTTTTGTATTTTTAGTAGAGACAGAGTTTCACCATGTTGGCCAGGCTGGTCTAGAACTCCTGACTTCAGGTGATCTGCCTGCCTTAGCTTCCCAAAGTGCTGGGATTACAAGTGTGAGCCACCATCCCTGACTAGTGTCAACTATTATTTACTGAACACTCTTATTTGTAGTTTCTATGACTTAGTGGGCAGAATACTCTAAGTAGAAAGTATTCCTAGCTTAAGTTTCAAATCTAACAAGCCATCAGATCTCAAAGTTTCTGGTCTCTCATATCTATATAAATTTTATTTCCTTAAGATTTTCTATATTTAAACTCTTTAAAATGCAGCATATTCTTATTTCACTCTCATTAACAGATTATATCATTATTATGTGTTTATGTGAATATTTGCTTAACATCTAACTCTACCATTAGATTATAGTTCCTTGTGGGGAGGAACTTCATTTTATTCACCATTGTATTTATAACCAGTGCCTAACAAGGTGCTTTGCACTAGAGGTGTTTAAATGTTCACTGAACAAATTAAATCATGAGTGAGAATGGAAAAAATAGGCATTTTCTTCCAAAGTACTACTATAATTTTCTGTGTGAGATTCTTGGGATCAGTAGCTAAATTTGAAGAGGTTTTGGTCATCAGAATTCTATTTAGTATAACTTTTGGCAAATTAATATTAATTTACTGATCAGTTAGTTAGCTTTCCTCAAACAGGGAAGAAAATTAACAATTCTCATAATTTTTTGTTCTTTTTCATGATATGTATATGTACAAAATATCAATCATAGAATCCCAGATTGGAAGGGACTTTCTAAGTAATTGAGGTCAATTTCTAAAATCCTTGTACTATTTTATTATTTTAAACAAATATTTATTAATGTTTTTCTATATACAAAACTAGAAAAGAACTAGATATAGATCTTGCCCTCAGAGTGCTCAGTGTAGTGATGAAGATTAAAATACATAAAATAAATAAATAAAATATCATATTTTATATATTCAGAAGAAAAGGAGATTACTTCCAGCAGGGGAAGAGGGGAGGTAGAAAACTTTGAGGAAGAAGCAATATTTCAGTTTGGATCCTAAAAGAAAAATATTTGTTCTTGCAAAGATGAAGGGTGAGAAAAGCTTTGTGAACAGAGAAAACAGGATAAGCACAGAAGTAGAAATGCAGACAACTCAGAAATAATAAATGGTACTGTTTTTAGTGGAACATTGACTACATGAAAGGAAATAGTGGGATGCAAGTTATAAAGTCATTTGTTGAAGTTCTCAAATGCCAGATTTGTAGTTTGGATTTTTTCTTGAAACCATGGAGTTTTTGACTAAGAGTGACATGATCAGAACCTTCAGGAAAATTAATTGGGCCTCACTGAGAAGGATGGATTGAAGTGAGGAGGCAAGAATTTCAGTAAGAAAGTTGTACAGTGGTTCAGGCAAGAGATAATGAGGGCCTAAGGAACAAGCTGCCTCTCAAATTTCATCTATGACCATTTTCTCCTTGGTTTCATACTTCAGCTATAAAAATCTTCCTTTGGTCCTCAAATATGGCAGACTCATTTCTGATTTTTGGCTCTTGCACTTGCCTAGAAATAATTTCTCCCTGATTTTCAGATAGCTGGCTGTTTCTTTTCATAATTCAGGACTTAGCTCAAGTATTATCTTTTCTGAAAGGCCTTCCCTGACCAACTAGTTTTCAGACATTCTTTCTTCAAGTTACTCTTTATTACATCACTCTATTTTCTTTTCATAAAACACATATCACCATCCTAAATTGGGTTTATTTAGTTATTTAATATCTGCTTTCCCAATGTTCTCATAAGCTCCATGAAAGCAGAAATTTTGCCTTATTTATCATTGTATCCATACCATGTAGAACACTGCCTGACAGATAGTATGCCCTCAATATTTGTGTTTTGTTTTTGAGACAGAGTTTCCCTCTGTTGCCCAGTCTGGAGTGCAGTGGTGCACTCTCAGCTCACTGCAGCCTCCACCTCCCAGGTTCAAGCGATTCTTCTGCCTCAGCTTCCCGAGTAATTGGGGGAGCCAGCACACCTGGCTGATTTTTGTATTTTTAGTAGAGATGGGGTTTCGCCATGTTGTCCAGGCTGGCCTCGAACTCCTGACCTCGAGTGATCTGCCCTCCTTGGCCTCCCAAAGTGCTGGGATTACAGGCGTGAGCCACCACGCCCAGTCCCCCAATATTTGTTAAATAAATAAATAAATAACAAATGAACTCTATGGGTTGAATATGTAGGAAATAAAATAAAGTTTACTAAGTTGGACTCTAGGGTCAGATGACCTGGTTTTGAATCCCAACCTGGAAATTTCCTAGGTATACAATCTTTACTGAGTGTAAAGCACTTAGAATAGTGCCAGGGACATAGTAAGTCCATGTAAGTGATAGGCATAGTTATTATTAATAAATGACATAGAACTTCTATTATGTTTGATACAGTGAATAAAAGTAACATTATATTCATTTCTAGAATCTAGCAGTAGTTACTAGCTTTTAAATTTGATTTTTATATTTGCCACAAATACATGCCTTCTGCAAAAAAAGTAGAGGTAAAAATAATTGGAAAAAAAATGTAGCAACAGTTTTAATTTTTTCTCATTACTTATTTCTAGGTGAAGGAAAAGCAAGAATCAGAACTGAAACTCAAATCATTTGCTCCTCCATATGTATGTAATGTGACATTTTAAACTTATGCTAATTTTTAACTTACAGCACTGCTTTTAATTACAAACTAACTTTTAAAATTTCCTATATGTTTTAGGCTCTTCAACCAGAATTATATTTGCTTCCTATAATGGACCATTTAGGAAATGTTTATTCACCATCATCAACAGTTATTCTAGATGAGCGGCAGACTAATAATGGTGCTAATGAGGCTGATGGAACAATCCACAGACCAATTAGTGTAACTTTATTCAAGGAGGAACTTGGAAGAGATCCCAGTTTGTTAGAAAACACTTTGAAAGAGCTTCCTAACAAGAATCAGGAAGAAGGTGATTTTAAACTGGAATGGGAAAAAGAAAGAGGCTATTATAGTACATTTTAGCAGTAAGTCTGTAAGCAAACCCTGAGCAAACCTAGCCTTACAAATATAGGCAGTATAAAAAGAAAGCTACAATTCCACTTGGGGATTTCTAAAAAAATAATTTTGCCAGATGGGAGGAAAAGAAAACAATTTAAGTACTATGTTAAAATAAAAACAAAATCAAAATAGTTACAACACTTAAATGAACATTACCACCTTTACTTCTTTTTTAATAAAGTAGTTTTAGATAAAAGTAAAGCTACAGGGAAAGAGAAAGGAAAGATGACTGCATAAAACTTTGATATGACTCAGAGACCAGAAGGGTCAGGAAAACAGTATCAAACCAACACAAATAACAACAAAAACAAAACTTTAATGTTGGGGATCATATGTATTTCAAATAATGTTAAAATTTTTATCTGATTACACCTATCAATTTACTAATAATTACTAATAATTTGATTCTTCAAAAGTGATAGGGGCCAGGAGTGGTGGCTTATACCTGTAATAAGCACTTTAGGAGGCCAAGGTGGGTGGATCACTTGAGCCCAGGAGTTTGAGACCAGCTTGGGCAACATGGCAAGACCCTGTCTCTATAAAAAAATGCAAAAGTTAGCCAGGTCTGATGGCACATGCCTGTAGTCCCAGTTACTCAGGAGACTGAGGTGGGAGGATTGCTTAAGCCAGGGAGGGGGAGGTTGCAGTGAGCTGAGATCGCACTATCAGCCTCCAGCCTGGGTGACAGAAAGAGACCCTGTCTCAAAAAAAAAAAAAAAAAAAAAGGTAATTTAAAATGTTTACATAAAAATTAAACTCAGGCTGGGCGTGGTGGCTCACTCCTGTAATCCCAGCACTTTGGGAGGCCGAGGCGGGCAGATCACGAGGTCAGGAGATCGAGACCATTCTGGGTAACATTGTGAAACCCTGTCTCTACTAAAAATACAAAAAATTTGCCGGGCATGGTGGCAGGTGCCTGTAGTCCCAGCTACTCAGGAGGCTGAGGCAGGAGAATGGCGTGAACCCAGGAGGCGGAGCTTGCAGTGAGCCGAGATAGCGCCACTACACTCTAGCCTGGGTGACAGAGCGAGACTCCGTCTCAAAAAAAAAAAAATTAAAATTAAAATTAAACTCACTGAGCATCTAACTGGTGTCAAGTAATAAACAGTAAATATTAAATGCGCCTAAGATGAAAGCAAGTACTAACTTTGGAACATTGTTGGGTTTAGCATAAATTTAGAATACAAGAAATGTAACTGATTAAGAACTACTATATTCTACAGCTTTAATAGATGTCTTTAGTCAACATCTGGGGGATGCATTTCATTTGTAAATGTTTAGTATATCTGCTTTTCCTTCACAGTTTATTTTTTAATGTAATATGGTAAAAAAGTTAAAATTAAACTAATTTTTTTCCTATTGATTCTTAGACTATAGTCAACTTTATTTATATGCTTTAAATGAGAGGACAGTGTGTTCAATTTTAAAAGTTCTAGAAACATCAGTAAGTATAAGGAAGAAAATAAGTATAAAGTATACTTTTACTAATAAATGTAAAGAAGAAAATAAAGACTGACAATAATTTTACTACTCAGAGATTACTACTACTTAGAATTCTGATGTATATTCTTCCAGTTATTTTTTAGTTCTTATATATAAATAATATGTGTTTTTATTTTTCAAAAATGAAGACACATAGACTCTTAAAGCCTCTTTTATTTTAAAATATAAACATTTCATATCAATAAATATAGATCTATGTCATTATAGAATTCCCTATGTCATAATTTACTTCCCCAACCCTTTATTAATGTTTCTGTTATCATGTATAGTGCAATGAGCAACATTTTTTTTTTCTTTTTGAGATGGAGTCTCGCTCTGTTGCCTAGGCTGGAGTGCAGTGGCACAGTCTCAGCTTGCTGCAACCTCTCACTCCCAGGTTCAAGCAAATCTTCTGCCTTAGCCTCCCTAGTACATGGGACTACAGGTGTGCACCAACATGTCCAGCTAATTTTTGCATTTTTAGTAGAGATGGGGTTTCACCATGTTGGCCAGGGTGGTCTCAAACTCCTGACCTCAGGTAATCCACCCACCTTGGCCTCTCAAAGTGTTAGGATTACAGGCGTGAGCCACCGCTCCAGGCCAGAGCAACACTTTTCTAAATGCAGTTTCGTGCATTTGTCCTATTATTATTTTTAGAAGTTTAACTGCTGTTTCTAAGGTAATGTAGTATTGTTGTCATTGTTCCTAGACCTTCCAACCTTGTTTGTTTTTCTCTGGTCACACTTCTTCCTTCTCCACTAGAGATAACTACTGCTTTGATATTTGTGGTAATCGTTTTCTTACTTTTCTTTTGCTTTCTGTATTTTGAAGCTCTGTTATTAGGTGCATGCATATTTAGGATTATTATGTCTTCTTGATAAATTGACCCCTATTTCATGTAATGTTTCTCTTTATCTCTGGTGGTAGTACTTATTTTGAATTATTTTCTTAACTTTAATTTGTGGTTTATCTTTTTACACTATGATTCTTTTGATCATAAGAATTCCTTGTAGTTTTACAACTGAGATATATATCCCTTGATAATATAGTTTAGTTATGTCTGTTTTGAATTTTATTTATGTATATCATTTTGAACTTGAGTAAGAGAAACTCAACATTGTAAGAGTCAACCATACCGTCACATGTAACACTATTTCTTTTCATTGTTGTGCTATTCCATTTTATATTCATACAATTTATTTACATTACAATTTATTCATCTATTCTATGGCTGATGGACATTTGGTTTGTTTGCAGCTTGGGACTATTACAAATATCCTGTTATGTACATTTTTGTACACAAGTCCTAAATGTGCATGTGCAAGAGAATTGGCATTGTTTGTTGTTAATGTTCATGTACATGTTCAACTTCACTAAACATCCATGTGTCTTCCAAAGCGATAGTACCCAGCAGCAATGTCTAAAAGTTCCTATTGAACCATAATCTTGCCATTATGTCATATATTTTCTGTCTTCTTGTTTCTCTGCTCCACATTCTGGAAAAAATAAAGAATGAGGGAGTATAGATTTCTTCCAAATGCATTTCCAGTTATCCCAAAATATCATTCATTCCCTCCCCACTGATTTCAAATGGTACCTTTGCCACACTATATATATAAATATATATATATATTCATACCTATATTCTTATATATACAAGACCACTTTCAGACTTTATCCATCTTCTGAACTAGTACTGACATTAATATTTTTTATATATCTGGCAGGGTGATTTCCCATTCGATATTATTATTCTTTATTGTGAGGTTCAAAATTGGATATCATATGTAAAACTGCTTTGTATCTGTAAATCGCCACACAAATAAATATAAATAATTTTTTCAATAGTTTTGGTTTGAACTTTTATTTCCTCTGTGGTTTATTTGTCATTTTGTTGGAAAGAAATCCAGTTTTTAAAAATTTTTATAAATATTATAAACTCTTTGAGGACAAGGATTTATTGCTGCTTACTCAGAGTCAAACACAGTGCCTAGACCACAGTCCTGAATAAATATTTGTTGAAAATTAATAACTGTCTTAACATATCAATGAGTAAATATGTAATCAATTACTGTGTTCTTAGACAGTAACTGTAATGGTACAAAAATGATAACAGATGCTATCCCTTCTGAAACATGACATTTTAGAGAAGAAATTTATAATAAATAATAAAGTTTGGGGAGAATGTAGGTAATATGTTTTTGTTTTTGTTTTTGTTTTTGTTTTTAGAGGGAGTCTCGCTCTGTTGCCAAGCTGGAGTGCAGTGGTGCAATCTCAGCTCACTGCAACCTCCGCCTCCCAGGTTCTAGCAATTCTCCTGCCTCAGCCTCCTGATAGCTGAGATGACAGGTGCCTGCCACCACACCCAACTAATTTTTGTATGTTTAGTAGAGACGGGGTTTCTCCATGTTGGCCAGGCTGGTCTCAAACTCCTGACCTCAGGTGATCCGCCCGCCTCGGCCTCCCAAAGTGTTGGGATTACAGGCATGAGCCACTGCGCCTGACTGAAGCCTAAACTTTTTTTTTTTTTTTTTTGGAGATGGAGTCTCGCTCTGTCCCCCCAACTGGAGTGCAGTGGCACAATCTCACCTCACTGCAACTTCTGCCTCCTGAGTTCAAGCGATTCTCCTGCCTCGGCTTCTTGAGTAGCTGGGACTACAGGCACACGCCACCACGCCCGGCTAATTTTTTTGTATTTTAGTAGAGACGGGGTTTCACCATGTTGACCAGGCCAGTCTTGAACTCCTGAGCTCAGGCAATCCGCTGGCCTGGGACAGGCAGTCCGCCCATCTCGGCCTGCCAAAGTGCTAGGATTACAGGCGTGAGCCACCACGCCTGGCGGAGCCTAACCTTCTTCAGATGGCATAGAGAACTCTTCAAACCCAGGGCTACAGCGTATGGCCATGGAGATTGTTTAGTGCCTATCTCCAGAAGGCCTCCTTCTCATAGATCATGATATGAATGAAGCTTTCAGGATTTACTTAATGTTGGGGTTAGTTCAGTAATTTTTTTCTATTATTATTAGTAGTAATACTACTGTTATAATAGTATGAGATTAGGAAAGGGAGGGAGAGAAGTACTATGAACTGGTACTTCTGGAGAGGTAGGTAGCGACTTGAGCTACAAGAGCCTTGCTTGCAAAGCTAAAGAGTTTAGTAGGTAATGGGAAGCAATCTGAAGTTTTTAACTGAGTGGCATGATTGGATTTTAGTTCTAGAAAAACAACTTAGGTGACAAGATGGAAAATAGACTTAGGGACTAAGAAAATGGCAATGGGATATAAATCAGAACTTAAAGTCAAGAAACTTCTCAGGATTGGACAGTGTGCTAGGTGCTTTACATGCATTATGCCATTTTAGAGATAAGGAAAGAGAAGTTAGAGAAATAACTTACCTAAAGTCATACATGTTATGGCCATGCCAGGGCTTGAGCTCTTGTGTGTCTGACTAAAGCCCATGCTTTATAACACTGTGCTAGAGTCATACTGAACTTTTCATTATGGATAAAAATGCTTCACACATTATTAGTATTCTGCTCCTTGCACATACCTTATTCTTTGCTTAAATTCCTCTTGCTCCCTTCTTTGCCACCAAACAGCTCATAGTTCAAAACTTAGTTTCACAGTTATCACTCCCTTTTCTGTGACTCTATCATATTTTAAACATATATTTGCTGGAGTTCTCAAAACACTGAGGTCTACATTATTGTTTCTTTTTATGGGTGGGTAGGGAGAGTTGTAGTTTACTATTAGCTTTTACACATTTGGTACGTCCATTTTTTATTCATTTTGCATTATATAGATCTTTTCTGTTTTTTTGTTTTGTTTTGTTTTATTTTTTGTTTGAGACAGGGTCTCTTTCCAGCCCAGGCTGGAGAGCAGTGGCACAATCTCAGCTCACTGCAGTGTCTGCTTCCTGGATTCAAGCTATTCTCCTGCCTCCGCCTCCCAAGTAGCTGGGATTACAAGTGCGTGCCACCACACCTGGCTAATTTTTGTATTTTTAGTAGAGACAGGGTTTTACCATGTTGGCCAGGCTGATCTTGAACTCCTGACCTCAAGTGATCTACCTACCTCGGCCTCCCAAAGTCCTGGAATTACAGACGTGAGCTGCCACACCCAGCCTCTGTTTGTTGTTCTTAAGTGACAATGTCAATGCCAGGTGGGTAATAAATTGTAGCAGCCAAACAAAAACCAATATGGGCTCCAGGTCGCACAATATTGTGGCAAGTCTTTTTTGTTTGTTTGTTTGTTTTGTTTTTGTTTTTGTTTGAGACAGGATCTTGCTCTGATGCCCAGGTTGGAGAGCAGCGGTGTGATCATGGCTCATGTAGCCTCAACCTTCCAGGATCAAGACATCCTCCCACCCCAGTCTCCCAAGTAGCTGGGAACACAGGCATGCACCACCATGCCTGGCTAATTTATTTTTGTAGAGGTTTTTAAATTTTTGTAGAGATGTTGCTCAGGCTGGTCTTGAACTACTGGGCTCGAGATACCCTCCTGCCCAGCTTCCCACAGTGCTGGGTTTATAAGCATGAGCCACCATGCCCAGCAACAACCCTTGTAAAATGACTTTCAAATATTAATTTGGCTCACTTATTCTTTTCTGAATTAAAAAAATTGATTTCTCCAAGGGAAAAAAACTGCATTAATACTGCCAGGTTCATGGATCTTTTGTTTATATAGACCATGTAGAACATTAGTGTTAATATTTCAAAGATGGATTGTGTAGTTTTTCTATATTGAGAAATGCTGTTAAAATGAAGGGAGATTTTATCAATGAAAATGTATGTGAAATAAAAATGACATTTTATGTTCTGTATTTATACCAGCATTTTCCAGAGAAGGTTCCTCAAAGCACTGTTTCAAAAACTGCTTTGGCAAATTGTTTGTAAAGACAATTAAGGCCGAACGCAGTGGCTCATGCCTGTAATTTCAGCACTTTGGGAGGCCAAGGTGGGCATATCACCTGAGGTCAGGAGTTCAAGACGAGCCTTGCCAACCTGGTGAAACCCTGTCTATACTAAAAATACAAAAATTCGCTGGGCGTGGTGGCACATGCCTGTAATCCCAGATACTTGGGAGCCTGAGACAGGAGAATCACTCAGACCTGGGAGGCGGAGGCTGCAGTGAACCAAGATTGCACCACTGCACTCCAGCCTGGGCGACAGAGCAAGTCTCTATCTCAAAAAAAAAAAAAAGACAATTAAATTTCAGGAAACCCCCATCTTACCTACTAGCTCTTGCAGACTTAGTTGTACACAGAGACAGACAAACCCTTCAATCGGGGTGAATGTGTGTGTAGGGGATTGTGTTGCTGTTTGATATTGCTTAATTCAACATTTCCCAAGCTGAATTAACCAAATAATTTCCTTTTCACATAAACTAGTATTTCATGAAATTCACTTTGGAAACTGTTGACTTGTATCTATATAGGAAAGTACATGGGGATTCTGAAATCTAGGATAAGATTATAATGTATACATATAAAAACAAAAGTTTATTTTAGTATTTTCTTAACATTCTGAACTTTATTTGCCATGGATGACTATCAACATCAGCTGGGGGAAAAGCCACTGCGGAAAAAAGCCAGATTGCAAAAAATCAAATTAGAAATTCTGAGTTGCCAAGATCATTGGAAGATTCAAATAATGATTGCTTTGGCACCAAAAAAAGGTAATTAGTATAGATGCTGATTCCATATGCCATAATCTAAACAATAAGAAAAAGAGTAACCTATTCAGAGTACTGTTATAAAGACTTTTACTTAAAGATATGAGTGAAATTAGTGATATTTTAATTAAAAGTTCTTGATTCAGATCTTTACTGTTTTTTTGCCAACATTCTTCTCCAAGATAATGAGGGATGATTCATAGCCTAAATTTATTTCTATTGTAATACTTTTATCATTGGGACAACTTGATGACAGAAAAATTTCTTTGTTTCCCTTCATTAGAACTAATTATCCTGCCTCTCCTAAGTTCTTGGTTATATGTAAACTAATCAATATGCTTGATTTTCACACTGGTATTTCATTCAAAATTGTAGTAGTTAGACAAGAGTTTTACACAGTCTTTTGAAATTAAGATAAGGGTTTTTATAAACAGTTATTCACAAAAGAACAATAAACAAATATGTTTCTAAAATTTCAAGTAATTTTATCTTGCTGTAGATATTGAACTAGAATTTAGTTATAATATAGTGAAATATGATTTTATTACTCATACTAAATTGTAGCTTTACATGGATTACTAATGAATCTGAAAGGACATATGATAATGGTCTCAGGCTGACTTTGAAAATTTTCAACATTTGTGTTTATAGAGCATCAAATAAAATACATAAAATATGAAAAGCTAATATTCATGGGATCATGTTTTAATGACTTTCAAACCTGTCATTTCCTTTAAGTCAGTGTCTTTGGGAAAATGAAGATGATACAGCTATCAGTAGAAGACAGGACAATCAGGTACTATTTTAAATTTTTTGTTTAAATATGGTATTGCAACATTATAATATTTTTACTAAGATTAAACTGAATCTGCAGATTAAAATGTCTAAGTTTTCCAGGAACATACTTCTAATATTATCAATAGTAGTTCAATTTTTCTGTTTTTATAAATAAGGTAACAATATGCCCAAATGAGAAGGGGGAAAAGTTATCCACCAACACCTTTTTGGATTATCTTCTCAAATTTTATTACTAGTTTTAAAGGTACATCAAACTGCACTTAACTAGCAACTTTCATAGCTAATTTGTAATTTAATATATTAATACCTGTACTTGATTAACTTGTCTCTTTAGAACAGAATTATATAGTGTGTTAAGAAGCAGTATAGTAGTAAATTGTTTATGTTATAGTTACTAGCTGTGTGATCTTGGGTATGTTACCTAATTTGAATTGCGCTGGGTTAAATGAGTTAATGAACACTATTCACATCACCAGTTTATTCTCAAGAAATGATGGAAAGACTAGGAGAATTTTGCAGATATTTGCAGGATGAATTTAGGACAGTCTTAAGAATAACAATACTAATTTTAATAATAGCTATCAATGAGTATCAACTACCAGGCACTATTCTAAGTATTTTACACATACTGACTCATTTAATCCCCATAAAAGAAACTCCATGAGATAGGTTATAGTTATCATTTCCATTTTGCAGATGAGGAAACTGAGGCACAGAAAGGTTCCGTGGCTTTCCCAGGTCATACATATAGTTAGTAAGTACTAGAGCTGGGCTTAGATCCTAAATAGTGTAGACTGGCTTCAGAGTTCATAGTCTTAACCATTTTAATAACTACCTACCTAAATAATACTACTAATAACATAGCAACAAAAAATTAGATAGCATTTATTGAGCCAATCACTGTTCTAAATGCTTTATGTATGTTAATTCATTTAACTCAACAACTATTTGTGGAGGTACTATTATCCTTATTTTCAGATGAGAAAATTAAAACACAGAAAGTTACATTAATGTTTCCATGGTTATGTCTTTCATACTCATTGGACAAAATTCCAACCATAGTTAATAAACCACAAACTTCAAATGAGTCTTTAATTCTGCCAACAAATATACTACATTTTCTTGGTCCATTACTATTCTTCTAGACACCTCTGTCATACTTTCTCCTCAAACAATCAAGACCTCCTTTCTCTTGAACTCTCAGTGATAATTTTTGTTAAATAGAGGTAATTTGAAGAGAACCACTAATCTCAAAATTTTATATGCAGAATTAGGTTGGGGTTGTGGTTCAGTTGAGATCCTCAGATACCCACTTACTACACCATTTGTTAAGACTTTATTTTTCCTATTGCATTATTCAAAACTCAGTTGACTCTATAAGATCTAGGACAACTTCTAGCCTCCCTTTCTGCTCAATGATTTTTTTTTATCCTTATGCCAATACCACATTATCTTCATTACTGAGGCTTTATAGTAGTTATTGTTATAAGATAGCGTAAGATTTCCAAGTTAATTTTTTTCAAGATCATTTTGGTGATTCTAGATTCTTTGTGTTTTTGTATAAATTTTAGAATCAGCTTGTCAATTTCTTACCACAAGACTACTGGAATTTTGAGTGAAATCACTGTGAATCTGTCAATCAATTTGGGAGGAAAACTTATATCCTAACTATACTGAATCGTCTAATCTATGAACACAGTATATTTCTCTATTTATGTCACTAGTTTCTTTCAGCAGTGTCTGTGGTTTTAGTGTATTGCTCTTAGATCTTTTAATATTACATTTATTTTTAGGTATTTGGTATTTTTGAAGCTTCTATAGAATGGTATTTTACAATTTTTATTTTCTAATTGTTGCTAATTTATAAAAATGTAATTGATTTTTATACATTGAACTTGTCTATTGAGATTTTGCTAAATTCAATTAATTCTATCAGGTTTTTTTTGTAGATTCTTCAGAACTTTCTACATACATATTCATGTCATCTGGGAATTAACAACAGTTTTACTCTTTCTTTCTATTTTTGTCATGAATTAAGTGTTTTTTCCTCCAGCTTTCTGAGTGTGAGAAGCTGTAATGGCAATAACAATGATGGCTTCTTGCTTTCAGCATAGTTCTGGTGATGGCCTCAGCAATGGTAACTTCACTAATGGAAACATCATTTTAGGAGACTACACCTAGAACCTGCTCCTCCAGTGTTTCTGATACACTTGATTTCCTTTATTACATTTCTTCCTGCTTAAACCTACACTGAACTGATTCAGTATTTGGTACGGAAAGTGTGATATGGCCCAAAAACTTTTACAAATGAGAATCTCAGACTGATTATTGCAAAAGAACTGCAATATTTTGTTAATCTGTGCTAGCAGAAACTTAGAAAAATATTATTGGGAATAGATTCAGAGCAGGAATGAAAGAATATAACTTTAAATTGGCTCAAGTTTAATAATATGGATACACTTATCAGAGATTCTGGATTTAATGTGCTAGCTGCAGCAACTGTGAGTGGTAAAAAACATTTTGCTAAATTGAGTGAGGCTGACAGAAACCTGGACAATATGGTGGTTCATACTGAGTAAATTTAGAATGCCAGGAATTTCTTGTTAAAAAGTAGAGCAAGAAATCTAAAGACTTTGGGAAATAAAAATGTTAAGAGAAGATTTATATCCACTTACTTCTTTAACCAGACATTGGGGAAATATATTGGAAAGGCAACGCCAGAATTCTTTTAAAAAACCTTATAGTGGCTGTTTTGTGTCACATGGAATGAAGACAGGACTATACTTGATTTCTTTTGTTTTTGTTTTTGTTTTTGGAGACGGAGTCTCACTCTGTTGCCCAGGCTGGAGTGCAGTGATGCCATCTCAGCTCACTCTAACCTCCGCCACCCAGGTTCAAGAGATTCTCCTGCCTCAGCCTCCCGAGTAGCTGGGATTATAGGCACCTTCTACCGTACCCAGCTAATTTTTGTAGTTTTAGTAGAGGCAGGGTTTCACCATCTTGGCCAGGCTGGTCTTGGACCCCTGACCTCATGATCCACCTGCATCAGCCTCCCAAAGTGCTGAAATTACAGGCATGACCCACCACGCCTGGCCTACTTGATTTCTTTAGAGATGACAGTATCCCTGATAGAAGCCAATTTACAGCATTTTACTATATAAGAGAAAACAGTACCAGAGTGATCGTAAGGATGTATGATTAAGAAATCCTTGACAATAGTTAATTGCCAAGGTGTCCCTAAGACTAATCATGATGTCCCTGAGACTGAAGTGGATAAGCGTACCAGTAAGCTATTGGTCTGTATAACCAAAAATTATTTTTAGTCTTCATAAATAGACATCTGCCTTGAATAACCACATGAATATTCACATCCCCTTATTAAATTACTAGACCTTAGCCAGTTTACATACCCAGAACTTATTGAGTGAAGGGGAGGCCAGGTATCCTTGAGGAAAAACCCTGTCACTCAGCCACAACTATGGACTAAATTTCCTTACCTTCCTAAATTTCCTTTACCTTCCTTAAGGAGATGAGAGGTTGTTTACCCAGATGACTACAATGGGGAAAGGGAGGTACCCTTACTTTTCAGGATTCATGGCAATGGCTTTGATGTGATTCTGATCCTTAGGGACCTGAATAACTCTGTGTTCCACCAACAGGGTGGAGGTTTAGAGGGGTCAGATAGTAAGTGAAGTTTTGGCTAAATCAGTATTCTGGTGTGCTGAATGACTTTGCAAATTCTCCCTGTAGTCATTTCCTTAATTCATGAATGCATACTTTGAAGGACTTACTCAGCAAATGTCAGAATCCTCATAATGCCTCCCTGATGCTTGCAGCATGGGCAATAAGGAATGTTATAGTAGAGAGGGCCAAGTGAAATATGATAGAATGGCCTATTCCTTACCAAAATAGTAAACCAAAGCATTACCAACCTCCTGGAGGAACTGTGAGTTTTGTGCCATGATCAAAACTTGAAAATGGCAGAAAAGGTGATTCCTATGATAGCCACATTAAACTCACCTAGTTGGTCTGTGCAGAAGATTAATGGGCCTTAGTGTCAGGTGTAACAATTGTAGCTGCTACTCTTTACATCATCTCTTTATTAGAACAAATTATTACAGACTGATGCGCCTATTATGCCATTCTTAATCTGGAAAATGCGTTTTTCTTCATCCCAATTAGCAGAGAAAACCAAAAGTAACAAATAGGAATAGCAGTAGACCTTCAGTGTTTTGCCTAAGGGCTGTGTCAATTCTGGCTCCTTGTAATAATCTAGTTTATAGGCAACTTGACCATACCATGATCCCCTTGGACCTGATTAACGGGAAATACCAAATAATCTAGATACCTTAGGTAAGACATATGTTTTTTAGGGGGTAGGAGATAAGCTGCAAGAAAATTCAGGAGTCAATCAATTCAGAGAAATTTCTGGGAGCTCCATGATCTGCGACATATTGAGGTATCCCCTTGCCCCAGCTACCATTGAGAATGAGAAAAAGCATTTTATGGACCTTTTTTGGAATTTGTAGAGAGATTTACTGCATTTGGATGTGCCGCTCTATTTTTTTTTTTAAACCAAGAGAATCAGAAGCCTGCCAACTTTTGAGTGGAACCTAAACAAGAGAAGGCTTGTAAGGTGATCCCAGAGGGATTGCAAGCAATACTGCCACTTGTGGGGTTTTTGGTTTTGGTTTTGTTTTGATACAGGGTCTCATTCTGTCGCCCAGGCTGGAATGCAGTGGAGCGCTCACAGCTCACTGCAGCCTTGACCTCCCAGACTCAATCCATCCTCCCACTTCAGCCTCCTGAGTAGCTGAGACTACAGGCACATGCCACCACACCCAGCTAATTTTTGTATTTTTTGTAGAGTTGGGGTTTCTCCTTATTACCCAGGCTGGTCTCCAACTCCTGGACTCAAGCAATCAGCCCTCCTCAGCCTCCCAAAGTGTTGGGATTACAGGCATGAGCCACTGCACCCAGCCCACTAGTGTTTTAATGTCTGTCCAGATTATCCAATGATGCTTGATATATAGTAGATTGGAATACTGACTGGAGTCTGTACAAGCCCTCGCAAGAGAATCACAGCTCTAAGCCCTTGGATTTGGGAGCAAAGGCATACCATCTTCAGCAAATAATTGTTGTTATATTGTTGCTGGATACTTTTATTGTTTCCAAATTTTACCTATTATAAAGAGCACACACAAACAAGAGAGGAATATATACTTATGTGTAGAATTGCTGGAAAATGCCTATCTGTAACTTAATGCCAAAATATATTCCAAAATGATTATACAAATTTACACTGCCACTAGGAATCCAAGACATTTCCTGTTACTCTACATCCTCAATAATACATACTGTCTTCACATTTTAAAATGTTTTGCACTCTGGTGGATGCTTAATGCTATTTAACTGTGGTTTGAATGTTTTAATTTCCCTGGTTACCCTTACATTTTATGGATCCCATTTTGATAACCATTTTGTGGGGGGGATTACCTGTTTTAAGTATTTCTATTGGGTTGTCTGCCATTTATATCTGGTTAGTAGGAGTTTTTAATATGCTCTGGAAGATAGTCCTTTGATATTTATGTATGTTGCAAATATCTCCCTCTACTTTGTGGCTTGTCTATGATTTACCTTGCTGAATACATTAAGTATTCCATATTCTTAATTTTTTCCACATTCTCTCTGTCTTGGACTGAGAATGGTATGTTAGAATCTCCTTTTATTACTGTGTTACTATTTATGCTTATACCTCCTGTGGTTTCTGCTTTACGTGTTTCTATATGTTATTTGGCACAAAGTTGTTCTTATGTGAATATTATTACTTTTGCATTATGAAGCATCTTTCTTCAGCTCATTTAATGCCTTTTTGGCCTGAATTCTTCCTTACTGCATATCAAAATACTCTGCCTTCTTTTTGTTTGCATTTATTTGATATTCTCCATTCTCGACTCCCCTCGTTTTTATCTGCCTTTCTGAGTCACTTTGTTTTAGATAAATCTCTTATGTACAGCCTAGAGTTGGGTTTTGCTTTGTAAGCTAGTCTGAAAGTCTTTTTTATTTAGTTAGATGAGCTATGTCCATTTATATAATTAATATGACATGTTTAGTCTCAGATTTGTCATTTTATTTTATATTTACTATGTGTCTTCTACTATTTATTTGGGGGTTTTTTTTGTCCTCGTATTTAGAAAGATTTGTATTTTTGTTTTAATATTTACCTTTATAGTAATACACTTATGCTAGTATTTTGGGCCCCTCTTTTTTCCTTTTTTAAAAATTGATACTTCTGCTTTTGATTTCGTATCTCTAAAATTATGCTCTGACTCCTCCTTGTTATATTCGAGGCAATCAGAAAACTTGTTCTACTTTCACCTTTTTCCCTCCCTTTTCTTCTCATTTATTTTCAGTTTGTGTTATTTCTACTTTGTCAAGCAATATAACATTTTTGTACTGTTCACTTAGTCCTATCCCCTCACTTTTGTTTTAGTCTCAGAACTATAATTAAATATGTTCAACACTTAACTGCCAATTATTTTGCAGAAGATTTTTCAGTGATTTCTTGGTTGGATGAAACTCAACCTATACTAGGAAAAGACCCTGAGCACAATATTCCCTTAGTTCTTGCACATTTAAAACTTTCTCTAAAGCAAGGATGGGCAAACATGATGGTCTGCATCATGCTTAGTAAGGCCTGTGAGCTAGGAATGTGTTTTATGTTTTTATGTTTTTATGTTTTTATGTTTTATGTTTTCCTTGGCTTGTTTCCCTTGAGTTTCTTGTAAATATTGCACTGCTGATGTCTTGCTTTATATGTTACTATTTAGAAGTGTGCCAACTTGATTTTCTTTCTTTGTAAACAGACTTGAGTATTTTTGCCTGGAAGGTCAGAGAATTCCTTTAATGTGTAATAGTTTTAGCAGGCTATATCTCAGTTGAGAATTGTAGGTCAGATTTTTCTAGGTACACAGTGGGCCCTTTCAATATGAAAATCAGAAATCAGACATTGTTTTATTTCAAGGATGTTTTCTAAAATTGTAATTTAAATAGATCTGTTTCATTGTTTTGTTTTGTTTTGTTTTTCTTTCAGGGGTAACAATTAGTCTTATCTTAGATCTTGTTTACCTTTATATCTGCCACTTTCATTCTGATCCATTTTACTTTTTTCATTATGTTTCACTTTCTTGGCTCCTTTTATTTCTATTCTGTGTTTTTCTTACTATATATTTGGTCATATATGTTCCATCTTGGACACCTGCTAATTTATTCATTTCTGAGACAATTTCTTTTTCTTTATTTCTTGAGTTTGGTCAATTTTCATTTCACACCTTCCTATTGTTTTCCATTTTTATTACAAATTTTAAAATTTCTGTTTTATAGTGTTCATTAATATCTGCAAATGCTTAGTTAATTATTTTTAATCTATGTTGGGAGCATTGTTAAGTTTTTCTCTGCTTCATGGTCGTGTTTGTTTTGATTTACTGCTCAGTTTTGAGGTTTTCTTCATAAGTAACTGCGTGAGTGCTAGATTATTTTACAGATGTTCATGTTTATTTGCATTGGATTTTTCCATTATCAGTAATAACAGGTGTTCTTACAGAGGAACAGGGAGTGAGTGGTGTTTTGGTGGCTTACTGTGTTTCTTAAATCAGGAGCACCCTCTTCTGTTACTGTAGTGAAATGCAGTTATTATTATTTTTTAAATTTTAATTTTAATTTTTTTGAGATGGAGTCTCACTCTCTTGCCCAGGCTAGAGTGCAATGGCACGATCTCAGCTCCCTGCAACCTCCGCCTCCCAGGTTCAAGTGACTCTTCTGCCTCAGCCTCCCGAGTAGCTGGGATTATAGGCACCCACCACCATGCCCGGCTCATTTTTGTATTTTTGTAGAGATAGGGTTTCACCATGTTGGCCAGGCTGGTCTCAAACTCCTGACCTCAGGTGATCCGCCTGCCTTGGCCTCCCTAGAAATGCAGCTATTTGTGTTTCTTTTTTTTTTTTATGTAAATGGGGCCTTTTGGGGAAATGGGTGTATTTTCTTTGGATTCTTTTCCACTAGCTTAGTTCAGTGGAGCTCTTGTCTTGGCTTTGTCTTGGCTATTTTCTTATTTTTTCTTACCAAACTGGCTCCCAAGGACATATCTCCCTTCCAAAGCATTTTCTTCTCTCCCAGACGCTATGTCTTCCCATGATTACTACCTCTGACTCCCTGTGTTTTTCAAATCCTTTCTTTTGAATTCCTCATAGAATCTACCAGGTTTTTTTTGTTTTTTGTTTTTTGTTTTTTGCTCTATTTTTCCACTTCAGGTAGAGCCCTCTCTTTCCAGACTAATTCGTGATTGGTATTTCCTATTATTTATGTACAGTGCTGACACATAGTCCACATCTGACTCTCTGCTCAGATGTGGGCTCCTGACCACACTCTGATCTAGTAGGCTTTATTTCCTCACTTATATGTAAAGGATTCTGTGCCCAAGTTATGTTGTAGGCATAAATTTGGGTGGTTTTACTTGGCTTCTTTTTATGGTAGTTTGGAAGATTTGTGGAGCAATTCTAATATAGGTGGCTGCCATTATCCTGTGGGATCTCAACTCTATAACATAACAAAATAAATAAGCTAGAAAAATAATGCAGTACTCTGCCCTTTATCTGTCATTCCAAGACCCCCTGTGGATGCCTGAAAACACAGATAGAACTCAACTCTATATATACTATATATACCCTATTTTTCCTATACATATATACCTATGACAAAGTTTAATTTATAAAGTAGGCCCAGTAAACAGTAACAAAAACAATAACTAATAATAAAATAGAACAATTATAACAATATACTATTATAAAAGTTACGTGACTGTGGTCTCTCTCTCTCTAAAAATATCTTATTGTACTGTACTGTGGGTAACTGAAAGCACAGAAAGTGAAACTACAGATAACAGGGACTAATTGTAAGACAAACAAAATAGAAGTGAGAGCTTGATGAAGATAAAAGTGAAAACTAATGAGGTACAGAAGCATAATTGAAAACAATTCAAGATCAATAAAGTGATAGTGGGACAAACATCAACATGGTAAGGCTTGAGGTAATTTATCAGAAAAGGGTAGATACTGTTCTCGCACTGCTATAAAAAAAAAAAAAAACCTGAGACTGGGTAATTTATAAAGAAAAGAGGTCTAATTGGCTCATGGTTCTGCAGGCTATACAGGAAGCATGGCATCATCTGTTTCTGGGGAGGCCTCAGAGAGCTTTCAGTCATGGTGGAAGGCAAAGGGGGAGCAAGGCTGGAGCAGGAGGAAGGGGTGGGGGAGGTGCCACACACTTTGTAAATGATCAGATCTCACGAGAACAAGATCTCACGAGAACAAATTCACTATCAGGAGAACAGTATCAATGGGGAAATCTGCCCCCACGATACAATTACCTACCACCAGGCCCCACTTCCAACAGTTGGGGATTATAATTCGACAGGATATTTGGATGGGTACACAGATCCAAATCATATCAGGTAGAAACACAAAAATTAGGAAAGATGGAGGCAATAGAAACACAAACACAGAGGAGATAAGATATATTAGAATAAAATGTAAAATTATCTGCTAAAATTTGACATGTGACAGAACTACCAATTTTCTAAGCAAATATAATCAAAATTGACTCAAGATGAAAACAGTATCAGTAGCCATCTTAGAAAATATTTAAAGTTATCATAACAGGTAACTGAGACCAGAAATCTTGGAAGGAAATCATGTTTAGAAAGAAAAATAACAGTTTTTTTTTTATTTTAAGTTTGAAGTACTTGTATGTAATGTCCAAGTAATAGAATACAGAGACTGGAACATGGGAGAGAATCTGTAACTATAAATACAAAATTTGGAGTTCATCACCACTACGTAAAAAGAATGCATTATCAAATACCAATGGGCAAGTGAAAAAAGAATGTGACAGTCTAGCCAATCTTACTCATTTCATGTTTGCTTACAGATAGGTGAAAAAGAGTACATCACCCTACCAGATCACCCTTCACTTCATTGTCAACCTGTTCTTTCTTCAAGAATAATTGATATCTCTTTATTACCAACTGAAAGTAAGTATAGTGCAATCATAAGTACAGATGATTCTGTGAGGTAAAGTAAATAATGTTAATGGGGAGTTATTGTTTAATGGGTATAGAGTTTCAGTTTGAGAAGATAAGTTCTGGAGATGGGGTGGTGGTGGTGATGGTTTCACAACAATGTGAATGTACTTAATGCAGCTGAACTGTAGATTTAAAAATAGTTTAAATGGTACATTTTGTTATGTAATATGTTCTACTACAATAAAAAAGTTAAATTATAGGAATTTTATTTTTATTTTTATTTTTTTTAGACAGAGTTTGACTGTGTTGCCCAGGCTAGAGTGCAGTGGCGCAATCTTGGCTCACTGCAACTTTCGCCTCCGGGTTCAAGCATTCTCCTGCCTTTGCCTCTGCGGACACTGGGACTACAGGTGCCCACCACCACACCTGGCTAGGCTAATTTTTGTATTTTTAGTAGAGACGGGGTTTCACTATGTTGGCCAGGGTGGTCTCAAACTCCTGGCCTCAAGTGATCCACTGGCCTTGGCCTCCCAAAATGCTGGGATTATAGGCGTGAGCCACAGCACCTGGCCCAGGAATTTTATATTTATTACTACATATGTTTAGTCATTAACATTATTTCATTTTAAAATATATATTCTGGCCGAGCATGGTGGCTCATGCCTATAATCCCAGCACTTTGGGAGGCTGAGATGGGTGGATCACAAGGTCAGGAGTTCGAGACCAGCCTGGCCAACGTGGTGAAACCCCATCTCTACTAAAAATATAAAAAAAATTAGGTGTGGTGGCAGGTGCGTGTAGTCCCAGCTACTCAGAAGGCTGAGGCAGGAGAATCGCTTGAACCCAGGAGGTGGAAGTTGGAGTGATATATATATATATATATATATTTTTTTTTTTTTTTAAATATACATTTTCTATGTACAATTTAAGTACGATAATTTTGAATCCCGGATACATTTACCAAAAGAGTTAAACCAAAGCATATCAGCATAACTGCTTGAGCTTTACCTGTTTCTACACATATATGAAATGCAGAAAAAAAAACACTATTTTATAAATCCCCTTATATATCACTCTCGGAAACTAAAATGACTCCTTTGCATTTTCCACATGGTAAATGCTATACTGTGCAAGAAAAACAGTTTGGGATAAAATTTATTCTTGCTGCTTTAGACATTTTTAAGTTTTACACTCCATATTTTAGGATATGAGCCATCTTTCAGCTTTGAGACATTGACGAATATGAGTTATAATCTTTTTAGGAGAGAAGATTATCAAACAAATGAAACAAGTAAAGGAAGAAAGAAGGTATCTGGAAAGAAATAGAGAAGAACTAGCAAAAACAGTTGAAAAGCTATTTGAACAAAGCAAATTAAAACGATATCATGGTAAAGTTTATTACATACCTTTTATCACTATAAAGAAAACTTAAGTTTTACAGAATTAATCCTTTTAGAATAAATTTATAATTAATATTTACTGTGTTACTATTTTAGTTTAAGTGGTACATGATTAAGTTCAATATAGAAAACATGAAATTATTATCAACTCTATACAATAAATGCTTTACATAGGGTTTTAAAATTAAAACATATTTTCATAACTGAAACTCATTTACTTGTTTATTAATTCTTCTATTCATTTATCAAACCCCTGTTGAATCTGGCCACTATTCTAGGGGCTTAGGAAACACTATTAAGACAGACACAATCTTGTCCCTGCCCACATAGATCTTACAGTCCAGTGGGGAAATGATAAGCAAGTTAAGCATTAATGATACATCCTTGCCAGCATAGTGGCTCATGCCTGTAATCCCAGAACTTTGGGAGGCCAAGGCAGGCAGATCATTTGAGGTCAGAAGTTCGAGACCAGCCTGGCCAGCATGGCAAAACTCCGTCTCTACCAAATATACAAAAATTAGCCTAGCCGGGTGTGGTGGTGGGCACCTGTAGTTCCAGTGATTGCAGAGGCTAAAGCAGGAGAATGCTTGAACCCGGAGGCGGAAGTTGCAGTGAGCTGAGATTGTGCCACTGCACTCCAGCCTGGGTGACAGAGCAAGACTCTGCCCCAAAATATATATATATATTTTGTTATGTGATATGTTCTACTACAATAAAAAAGTTAAATTATAGGAATTTTATTTTATTTTATCTGACTCTGTTGTCCAGGCTAGAGTGCAGTGGCGTGATCTCGGCCACTATGATAAAGGAATTACACAGTTCTATGGATAGGAATATAAAGGAAGAACACCTAAATTAGATGGAAGAGATCAAGAGAGTCTTCCAGGAAAAGTGTTGGATATGCCAGGATCTGAAGTATGGTTCTTGGCTCTAGGTCTTTGGGCATGCTTTTCCCTCTGCCATCTACTTCTCCTCTTACCTTGAGGTACCCTCTTCCCAGTTTACCTGCCTATTTCCTATTAGTCATTCAAGAGCACCTTATATATTACTTACTGTAGAAGACTACTTTGAGTCCTTTGTACTCTTCTGTACTTAATTTTTTGACATGTGTATGTGTCTGCCTTGCTTTTAAAAGTCAGTGAATGAGGGAAGTTAAGTAAGTTTTCTTGCAGTACAATTAGAAACAGTGTTGTTAGGACTGGTGGACTGATGAGGCAGGATGAAGATAGTACATGATGGTGGCTTGAGAGTTGCTAAATGATTTGAGAGGCCTCCGTTTTGGGTTGTGTTTGAGGATTGTAAGGATAAAAGGTATCTATGGAATTAAGTGGTTTTAGGATTCTCAATTTACAGCAAAATTGTTTCAACACTAGAACTGACTGAAGGTTATAGACAGTGTCAGGAGATATTTCTCAAGATTCTGCCTTACAATGTGTTATCCTGAAAGTGGTAGCAATGAGTCAGCCTTGTTGTAGTGTTAAACAAGCAATTTTATCAGACAGATTTGAACAATGGACTGAAAATCACAGGACCAGGATTGTAACACCAAATCTGTCTTTTAGACAAGTTATTTCCCCTCTTTGTGCCTCACCTTTTCTGTTTATGAAATGGGAATGGTCCATCACTTCCTATTTCAACAGAAATATTTCAAGATAAAAGGTATGTATTGGCCATAAAATATTTATTGAGCCTACTACATGCCAGGCACTGTTTTAAATGCTGGGGATACAGCAGTGAACAAGACAGACATGGCCATGACCATAAGGAGCTTGCTTCCCTATGGGAAGAGACAGACAATAAACAAATAAGTAAGACAATATTAGCTTTGATCAGAGCTGAGAATTCAATTGAAAAGAGCATAGTAAAGAGTGATGAGGCAGGGAAGAGATGCTTTAGGTAGAATTTTCAGAGAAAGTATCTCTGAGAAGATTAAGATTTGATTAACAGGGAGGCAGGTACAAAGGGAACACTAAATATCAAGGTCAAGAAATAACAATGACCTTGTGGTATATTAAGGGCCTGAAATAAGACCAGTGCTGCTGAAACACTATGTAAGGAGAAATGTAGAGGGGGATTAAATCAGAAAGGTCAGCAAGGAATAGATGGGCCAAATCAAAGATTTTGGATTTTATTGTAAGCAAGGCAGGAAGCCACTAGAGGATTTTGAGCTAGGGATTTATATGATTTTTAAAAACATTTTAGAAAGCTCAGAATGACTGCTGTATAGAATACCCTGTACAGGGGCAAGAATGAAAGCAGACCAGTTAGAAAGAGCATGCAGATTTCTTGGTAAAAGATGATATTGACTAAGGATATAGCATTGAAGAAGGTGGAATGTGCTAGATGCTAGAAGTATTTTGGCAGTAATACTGGTAGAAGTTGCTAAGGGATTGGATAATAGAGCATGAGATAAATAGCCAAAATCTTGAGCTAAAGTTCCATATAGCTATATAATTTTAATTAAATCACCTTATAAAGTAGAATTTTTAAATTTGAAATTTTTGTTTCTATGATAATCTAAAAGAAAGAAACTAAACAGATTCTGGTATACTGGCATATACTTTGTGTTCCTATTAAGTTTGTATTTAGAATCTCATTGGTGTCAATGCAATTTGTTAAACTGATAGTGTTTAATTTCTAATGATTAATTTTGGATTAGTTTTCCATAATCATGGGAAAAAGTAACATATACATATTACTTTTATAGTTATATATGTTATATGTATATATGTTATATTGTTTTATATATATATATCTGTTGTATATTACTATATATAACAAGTATATATATTGCTTTTATAATATATATTACTATTAAATGTATTACTTTTAGATATATTACTTTTATAGTAATGTATATTACTATTATATATATATATATTTTACCATATTTCTACACAAGTTCTCTTATTATCGAAAAAACATTTCTTCCTCAGGTCTAATGACCTCAGTATATAAAGAAAGGAGAAGAGGAGAGAAAGAGAAAAATGGTTTAAATTGACATTAGCTCTAGGGTCCTTTCCAGGATGAAAAGTTGAATCCTTTAATATTCAAATGAAAGCCTTTGCTTTTTTTTATATATATATATATATATAGCCTATGACGGTTGGAAGAAAAAATACTTGGAAACAAAGAAAGTCACAGCATCAGTGGAGGAGGTTTTAACAAAACTTCGAGAAGATTTGGAACTCTACTATAAAAAATTGCTCATGCAACTTGAAGCCAGGGAGATCAAGATGAGACCAAAGAATCTGGCAAACATCACAGACTCCAAGGTATTACTAAATGTGTCCCCCTTCAATTAGAGAAGTTCTGTTCAAAACACATGCTTTATAAGCGCTAGTAATATCACAAGATGCATTGGGCTGACTTTGACTTAAACTTGCTTAAAACAATAAAAAAAAAAACTCATGACCTTATGTAATAGGAGGAGGATTGCTGAGGAGATACAGTCAGCAGCTTAATGTTGCCTTTAAGGGGGCCTGATATTTCCTACCTATTATTTTCAGTGTTAATTTCATTGTAAGACTGCTTTTTCCAATGGTAGCAATAGAGTGGTCAATGGCAAGTAGGGCTTTATATCCCCAAACAAGGGAGAAACCTCTCTCTGAATCATGGAATATATAAATCTTTCCCTTTATCCTAGGTAAGGGATCAACTAGGCCTACCCCTGGATGAGAAATAGTTGCCAAGGAATGCTATATGCTTACTGACTTAGACTAATTAGGATTTACCTCTGTATCTGAGACAGGGTTCATTTCCTGACACTATGGGAAAGAGGCGAATACCTGATGAATTAGGGCAGGGGACAAACAGCATCTGCTATAATCCTGTTATTTGGTAGTGGCGGCAGGAGGACTTATAACACACAGGAATTTAAAGAAATTATGAAATTTTGTTTAGTTCTTTTTTTTGAGACAGCCTTGAATCAGAGACATGAAGTTTATTTTATTATTCCACCATATAATTAAACAACAGACAAAAAAATTCAAGAGTGCATTTAACAATTTGATTTGGGTTAGATCAATCCCACTTATCCAAAAGTGATTTTAAAATATGTTAACTATGATTAAAAGTAAGGATTTAACTTTAGACAAGATGAAATATTCAAAGTTTACTATTTTAAATGAATTTAATATAAAATCCAAATAGGCTCAAGTAATGGTTTATCCATAGTAGTTGGTACTTTTTTTTAGCATAGCTTATACTTTATCTTACTGTTTTATCAGTTCAATATAAGAATTTTTTCACAAAGCCAGTTTAAAACTCTTAAATAACTTCTTTAGAGAAGACCACTATAACTCATAAACTTTTCTGGACAAAAACCAAAAAGTCTTCTTATTATAAATAGGTTTTCTTGTATTAAATGAGTTCTTGCATATAAAATATAGTATCATATTATTAAGTATTTTAAAATAATTCTAATCTGATTCAGCTGATAAAGCATTATGCCAATTTCTAAAGTCTTGCTAATATCTAAGATATTCCTTTCATAGTATTCCTTTCATAGTAATAGTTGTTGGTTTTTATGGTGCTAATTTAATGGTAACTTTAGAGAAAGTGTTCCCTAAAATTCGATAAATCAACAAAAACAAATAGTAATTTCTCCAAAGCAATTTAGTTTACTTTATGGAATAGGTTATTTTCATGATTTACTCTTTTGATATTTATCATTTCATAGTTTATGTTCCCAAGGCAGTTAAAAATAAAAATGTTTATGTGTTATACTAAATAAATGTCTATCTATGCACACAGAATTATCTGATAATCCAGATCACTGAGGTACAGCATGCAATTGACCAACTTAAGAGAAAACTGGATACTGACAAAATGAAACTCACAGTAGAAGTTAAGGTAACTTACATTTTTCCTAATCAAATTATTATAACATTTATCTTGAAATAAAATATTTTGGTGTTTTAACTTTGGGTGTCAATAATATAAGGGTAGCAAGGATTGATTGTCTTAAAATCGTTATCTTAACAATAAAGAGCATGGATGAAAAACAATGCAAGAAGTAAAACTAAATCCTGTAAAAAGATGCATGATATAATAAGGCCAAAGTAAAATTTAATAGAATTTTACTAGGAAGAATTAAAGGAAAAAGAACCTGTGAGTCAATATATTCTCAAAAAAAATTTTAAGTAGTTTTCCTGTATTAGAATTATTAAGTCTGATAAACCACTGAGCTCTTCTCTGAACTGACATTTAATTTTTCATGGGTAATCATTTAATTTTTTCTGGTTATTTTCATATGTATTATATTATTTAAATATGAATAATGTGACTTCTACTAGATGTTAAGTTTCCTTCCGGGCAGAAACTATGCCTTAGTTAACTTTGTTTCTCCCATGGGACCTTTTGTGTAACAGATGCTTAGTAGAGGCTTCTGGGCATGCTTTATTTGGTGAGAATTGTGTACAACTAATTACATCATATAAATTATCTGTGAAGTACTGATGTATTAAAAAGCTTTTTTGTTGAACAGAAAACAGAAGAAGATTATACATTTTCACACAAGCACCCATAGCAAGGCAGGAAAATAAGAACGATAATTATATGCATGCTCTCATTTCTCTATCAGAAACAGCTTTATGACACAGGATAATGACTCTATTCTAGAATTAGCTCTTTTTAAAAAATTTTAAAAGAGAAAAAAGAAAATCAGTACTGTCCTGGGTTTCCAATAAAAATAAAAATAAATAAGATTTAAAAATAAAAAAATAGAATTAGCACTGTCCAATAGCACTTATGTGATGATAGAAATGTTCTATGCCTGCACTGTCAGATTGGTAGCCACTAGCCACCTACTGATATTGAGCACTTGAAATGTAGTTTGTGTGACTGAGGAACTGAATTTTAAATTTTATTTACATTTAGTAGTTACATATGGCAACTGGCTTCTACTATACTGGACAGTGCAGTTCTAGATTCTTTTTACAAGCAGCATTCTCGAGGCTAAATAAGCCCTGGTTTGGCACTGAGAAGCTTAAAACTTAAAATAGAAAAGGAAAAGAGCAGAGAATAATTTTTAACAAAATATCAGTTAAATTTGCATTCAAAAAAGTAATTTGTTCAATGAAGGAAAACTGTGTCTATTCCATATATGGAGATAAAGCTAATATGTAAACTTGTACACAAGAATAATTCAGTAGGTAGGACGGAGTAATAAAATGCCCCCAGAGGCTTGGATTATGACTCCCCTCATGCCATTTTCTTCTGGAAAGCATGTGCATTACTTATAATCTTTGTATATTTTAACATTACAGATGTCACTCATGGTTTGAACCCAAATTAGAATTGTTCATACAAAAACAGTAAAGCCAAGTGGAATAAGAGAAAAAAAAGAGAACAAAGTTTTCAGCTTATAGGCTGGGGGGGAAAATCCTATATTTAACCATAGTGCCTGATTGACACATAGACATTATATAAGAAGTTTTATTGATTTCTGAATGAGCTCCCTAAAACAGCCCTACCTATAAGATTCAGAACTAAGGGACAAAAAAAAAACCTAGCCTGAGTCTCTTGCAACCATATTTATTCAAGATAGTATAGCATAAGTAGTGCTTCTCAAAGTTTAATATGATATCATCTGAAGATCTTGCTTAAAAATGCAGGATCTAACTCAGTAGGTCTGGGTGCAGCCTGAGATTCTTCCTACCTAACAAGCTCCCAACTGATTCTAATGCTGCTGTCCGCTGACAACACTTAGAATAGTAAGGGCTCTGGTACCAGGTGGTCTGAGTTTGAATCCTGGCTGTACCCACTTCACTTACTAGTTTTTTATCTTGAGCAAGTTACTTAGCCTCTAAAGGCCTCCATTTCAACTGTAAAATGGGGATAAATACTAATAAGTATTTGATTCTATAAAATTTTTGAAAAAAAAATAGACTAATACACTTAGAATGAGTGCTTGCCACAGAGTAAACAGTATATTTCTTAAATATCTCTTCAGTTCCTAAGGGCTAGAAATTAAGCTTTTTTGTATTTTGTTTTCTTGTTGTTTTCACTATTTTCTTTATACATTGAGAACAACAGGTTTTGAAGTTTAAACAAAACATAAAATTCTTTCTCTATTTTTTAGAACAGTTCAATTGTATTGTCCCTATATATTCATAAACAAGGTTATCTTATAGCATATCTAGTCAGTAGATAGGCATGCTTATTAAACAGCATTCATAATCTACACATTTACTGTAGTAATCCAGTGGAAGTCAAACCACTGAAGCCAAATGAGAGAAGACAGTTAAAGCAGTTACAAAAACCCTATTTACATGACAATTATAATGTACTTTTAGAAGAGTATGATGAAGTTCATTTTTGAAAAGTAATTCTTTTTATAGATGAGAAAACAAGCACTTTCAGATTTACGAACATTGAAAACTGAACTGGCACAGAAAAAAAAAATAATACATCTCTACAATCTCAATTAGGTATGTTAATTTAAAACTTTTATTTATCAAAAAATTTAAATATTTATTTGAACAGATTTGTTTAACCATTATTCTCCTTGGCAATGTTTTATATAAAGCACAAGGTTTCTCTTTCTGCACTTTCCATGTGGGTGTTATAAAATGTTTCAGGAAATATTAGATGCAATATAAAGCGAAATGATGACTGGTTATTTTTAACATTCCAAGTATTTTGCATATTATTTTACAGTGCTAATTTTATAATTTTCATTTTTAATAATCTTAAAATGTAAGAGCTAATATAACTAAAAATCTATTTGCAAAGAATAAATGTGTATTAATGAATACTAATATATTTGCATGAAAATACAGACTTCATTTAACTTAATTTGTTCACTATATCTTAATTAAAAGAAATCTGGAAATACAAAAGAATAGGGGATATTGAACTTGCATTCTGAGCTATGATAAAGATAAGCATCTAAGAATTTAAATTTTTTAATTCATTTATTTTAGAAATATGAAGACAACAGTGGTCCAACATATAGTATGAAAATGGTTGATTTTACTCTGTCACAAACAATTGTGTAAATAGGAAATGTAATATTCTCATAACAGATGGTTCAATCATCATTTATTCCAATTTACAGGGGGAAAATGTGCAGGGAAGCCAGGATTTATGTAAATCTAGAGTTCAAAGATACAGATTTTTAATCTGTAATTAGGAACTAATAAGGGCAGCACAACGTTGTTAATTCCCTGGAGAAAGAAAACAGACTTTATTACATTTAGAAAAGTTATTTGTATAAAATTGATCTTTTAGAAAGAGAACTAGTTGAGAAGCTAATCATTGTCTTTAGATCATTAAAAATACAATGCAGTTCATGCCTGTAATCCCAGTTCTTTGGGAAGCCAAGGCAGGATGAGTGCTTGAGCCCAGGAGTTGGAGACCCGCCTGGGCAACATAGCAAGACCCTGTCTCTACAAAAAATAAAAATAAAAAAGATACATTGCAGACGTAGAAAGAAAAATTTAACCTTGTAAAGAAAGCTAGCCAAGAAATAAATTATACATGTCCATAAATGAAGGAATATGAATAATTAGAAGTGTGACAGTGAATAGAATCAAGTTCAACTGCAAGTTATTCCTATTATAAAAATTTTACAGATGAACCTCATAAAAATAATGTAGTTGGAAAATACTAGGTAGTTCTAACTTACCAATTCAAAATATTACTGTTATATTCTTGTATTTTGTGAATACATTTAATCTTCTGGATTCTTTTTAATTCTCACTCACTGTCCAAAGGTTTAGTTCAAGTACCTCAGAGAACATAAATACTATATGGAGTCAGGAAGCAGAAAAATTATTTTCATCAGTTTGATGAACCTAAAGAGGAGACACTAAATTGTAGGTTTTAAATTTAAGATTTATTGGAGGGTTGGGGGAAAAGTATAGCACAAACTGCTTTTCAAAGACTAGGTTTTTAAAAACTCTAAGCAAACAATTTCCACTTCAGATTATACATATTTTAAAAATCAGCATTGATTCATAAGCATATATTTTACTATAATGAAGGGAAATATGGCATAATAAAATTCTGAAAGCAATTTTTCCCAATTAAATTATAGTGTTGAAACATCTAATAGAGGAATACTTAACAGGTAAGTTGACTAGTTTCTTGCCTTTATATTCCTGGATACTGATGACATTCGTATGTATTTTTCGAATTCAAACAATCAACATTTCTTTATTCTTTTTTTAGTATACCAATAACAAAAGTATATAGCAACATAACAAAAATGCAAGAAACTAGATCTATTTATACAGATCATTTTTCTAAATCTTAATGGTTTGACAAAAGATGTTCATCTTTGTAACAGCTTTGGCTTTAAGACTTCCCACATTTCTTCAGTTTGCTGTTTGGCTACAGTATCTCCAGAGTAGTCAAGACAGTTTGCATTCCACATGCCGATGCCCCGTAAGCCATAGTTTTGTATATATGTTGCCTTTAAAGAAATACTCTGAGGGTTATCATACCATACTTGATGAAAGTGGCCAGCAGGATCCTATATAAATAAATTAAAATGGAGATTTTAAAGTATTTAATACAATTCAGCACCATAGGAAAGGGAAAAATAAAAGAAGTATACAGTACAGTAAGAGGGAAATGCTCTGGTCCTCTACAACCAGCTTATGTGCTTTTTTGTATTCTCTGTAGTTGCTAGAAGTGTGCCTAGCTAGGAGCTCTACAGAAGATTTTGTTTATGATGAATCAGCCAGATCAAAAGGTAATGGAAATGGAGGAGAAAAGTACATCCTTTTCTAGGTCCTAAGGATTCATTCTGAGAGTCTGTTAGGTCTGCCCTTCATTGGTGACTTAACACACACCTGATTATGAGCCATAAATTAGATTCTGGTCTTATGCTCACCTTCCACCCTAAAAAGTCCTGCCCAGAATCAAATACCTATATTTAAGTACTAACACAGTCTCTCTCGGGAGGCACATGAGCTATTGGATAAGAGACAAAGGAAAAGGGAAAGGAGATCTAGGACAAAGTGCAAAGGAAGGTGAAAAAGATAGGAGATAAAAAATAGAAAGACCTGTGACTAAAAATAATTTACTTATTTTTATATACATCTAGGAAACTCCTTAAAGACATTTCTGAATTAATGCCAGTAATATTTACAGCATCTCTCCTGGAATTAGAATAGTCTCTTAAGAACATAAAGTATAATTAAAAAAAAAAAAAAAAAGGATGAAAAAGAAGATTACTTTGGGGCCAGGCGCGGTGGCTCACGCCTGTAATACCAGCACTTGTGGAGGCCGAGGCAGGCAGCTCATGAGGTCGAAAGATCGAGACCATCCTGGCCAACATGGTGAAACTCCGTCTCTACTAAAAATACAAAAAAATTAGCCGGGCTTGATGGTGCATGCCTGTAGTCCCAGCTACTCTGGAGGCTGAGGCAGAAGAATTGCTTGAACCCGGGAGACGGAGGTTGCAGTGAGCTGAGAACGTGCCACTGCACTCCAGCCTGGAGACAGAGCAAAAAAAAAAAAAAAGACCACTTTGAAGGAAAATAATTCACCTAGTAAATGAATACACTGCAGTATATTTAAATATAGTAGACTAACTGTAATCAAGCATATGTCAGTCTATATCTTATATTCCATTCTTTAACATTTTTAGAACTAGACAAAGCCATGCATGCTCTACTAATAGCTGTGATTCATTATTTAAAGGCAACTTGTAGAACTTGTACTTAAATATGACAGATTGTTGAAGATTCAGGGGCAAACACAAAGACATATACCTTTGAATTTTGCCATCATTCTAGCTAGTACTTTGAGACTTTTTGATATTATTAAGAAATTCAAATGTCTCAAAATTGTGAAGGATCAAAGGGCAAAAACTAAGCACATGTAAGACTAATTTATGCATAGTTAAGGCATATTTGCTTTCCAGAATATTGAGTCCAAAATGAGCTGCTATTGCTGAAACAGCCCAATAGAATGATTCTCTTCAAACAAAACAGAAACTTGATTCATCTTGCTATAGAATTTTGCAATTAATAAAAAAGAGAGGCCGGGCGCGGTGGCTCACACCTGTAATCCCAGCCCTTTGGGAGGCCGAGGCGGGCAGATCACGAGGTCAGGAGATCGTGACCATCCTGGCTAACACTGTGAAACCCCATCTCTATTTAAAAAAAAATACAAAAAAATTAGCCGGGCGTGGTGACGGGCTCCTGTAGTCCCAGCTACTTGGGAGGCTGAGGCAGGAGAATGTCGTGAACCTGGGAGGCGGAGCTTGCAGTGAGCCAAGATCAAGCCACAGCACTCCAGTCTGGGCAAGATAGCAAGACTCCATCTCAAAAAAAAAAAAAAAAAAAAAGGAAGGAAACAGTTATAACTAGATTTTTTTTCTAAAGTGGCATTAAATGACCTTCAATGCTCACCAAAATGTTTCCTGAATTCTAAGACCTTAAAGAATGTATTTCTTCATGGAAACAGGGTAAAAAGGTGGTACCAGAGGCTGGGGTTGGGAAGAATAGATGTTTCAAAGGACACAAATTTTCAATTAGACAGGAACAATAAATACAAGAGATCTACTGTATCCCATGGTGACTATAGTTAATAACAATGTATTATGTTGAAAATTCCTAAGAGAATGGATTTTAAGTGTTCTCGCCATTTAAAAAATGGTATGTGAGGTAATACAAATGTTAAATAACTTGATTTAGCCATTTCACAATCTATAGATGTATCAAAACATCATCTTGTATGCCATAAATATAGATAATTTTTACCTGCCATTTAACTTTTTTTTAATTTAAAAAAAAAAGAGGCCAAGTGCAGTGGCTCACACCTGTAATCCCAGCATTTTGGGAGGCCAAGTCAGGAGAATCACTTGAGGCCAGGAGTTCAAGACCAGCCTGGGCAATACAAAAAGACCCCGTCTCTACAAAAAGTAAAACAATCAGCCAGGCATGATGGCACATGCCTATGGTCCTAGCTATCTGGTAGGCTGAGGCAGGAGGATTGCTTGAGCCTGGGAAGTCAAGGCTGCAGTGAGCCATGATTGTGCCACTGCACTCCATCCTGGGTGACAGAGCAAAACCTCATCTAAAAAAAAAAAAAAGACTGTGTTCCTGCATTTTCACATTCATTAAGGAAAAAACAAGCCACAGATTACTAAGATCAGGATTACAAAGAAACAGTATATGGTAATATATACTGTCCTAAGATTCTATGTTAAATATTTTTAAATTACAGGCATACCTCATTTTATTGTACTTTGTTTTGTTGTGCTTTGCAGATATTAAATTTTTTGCAAATTGAAAGTTTATGGCAACTCTGTTGAACAAGTCTGTTGGTGCCATTTTTCTAACAGCAAGTGCTCATTTTGTGTCTCTGTGTCACATTTTGGCAATTCTTAAAATATTCCAAACTTTTTATTATTATTATATCTGTTATGGTGATCTGCAATCAGTAGTCTTTGATGCTACTATTGTGATTGTTT